AATTATTTCACACGCTGTAGGCAGAATTAATACGACATTTTTTACACAAACGTGTATCAGTATCATATGTTTAAGAAAATGTACATATTTGCGAACAAATAGTTCAGAAGACAACAGAATCGTCGATTTAATTCCTCACTTAAGTTACATAAATGGTTTTTCGAAAAACAGTAAAGATCTGCACTTTAAACCCAAACGTTTATGTAACTTAAGTGAGGAATTAAATCGACGATTCTGTTGTCTTCTGAGCTATTTTTTCGCAAACATGTACATTTTCTAAAACATTATGATGCTGATATACGTTTGTGAGAAAAAACGTAGTGGGGATTCTGCCTACAACGCGTGAAATAAGGAAAAAAGAAAAATCGTACCTTCAACGTTCCGACATTTTGTTACCAAAACGAACCGTTTCGGTAACCAGCGTAATCGAGTGGATCACCAGTGTTAACCAAACGTCATTGCACGTCCTCTTCAGAGACGCGATGCCTATAATTTGGAGCACATTATTTAAATGGCCAGCAAATGGGCCATACACTTGCTATAGTAGTGAAACTTTGTCAACTTAAAGAACATTGAACTAACTTTTTAATCAAACTCTAATGGTGAAAGAGATATTCATTGTTAGGTGGGTAAAGTTTTTCATGTTTGAAATTAAGTAATATTCAGCAAAATATACGGTAGATTCCCGTAAAAATACGGTAGGTTGGCAGGTATGATCGAGTAATATGTGCATATTTCAAAGAACTTATAGCCGGTGTAAAAGGATAGGAGGTCCTTTCAAATTATGGTCCTACTCTCCATTGATTTATATGGTGACCTAAATGCAACTCTTTCCCTTATTATCTTATACACAATCAGGGCCAGAAAGGGCTGTTTAGAAAGGGGACCATAATCGATGAGGGACCATAATTTCTTTCACACCGGCCTTCCAACATCGGTATTGCATCATTCCCAGATAGGAGCCACCCATACATCACTCAGTCGTTGTAAAATCATTAGCAATCGGCATGTGGTTACATGCTTTATCGATAAATCCTACCCACAGTACTTATACCCAGTCACTGCTTAGAGACCATCATTTCGCAACAGGGAACGTGTTCAACCGTACCCCAATAGATCATTTTTACAAGAGGAACATTTGGAGCATTTCAACAAATATAGACAACTAAAACAATAAGAAACTTCGAGACTTTTCTATTCAACCAATAAGAAACTTCGAGACTTTTCTATTCAGAATCTCCAGATTATTTGTACAGAAAGGAACCGAGGAGCCTTTCTACAATAAAAAGGAATTCCGATTATTTTCACAATGAGAAACTTCAGAACATTTCTACGATAAGGACATCATCAGAACATTTCTACAAAACGAAACGCCAAGTAATTCCTTTGCTATGATAATCATAATGATCAACAATTTTTAAACCAATATCTGCGAAAAATCTAAATTAACTAGATAAATGGAATATACAGCATAGAAGACAAGTAAGATCGACTTAAGACAAAAAGGTAAATAATTTAATACCTATAAATCCAAGTCAGTGAAATATTACATACTGACACATCAAGTTAACAATAGTTCTGTCAAACTTGTCAAAAACTGGTTAATGTTCTTTTTGCAAAAAAATGTTACATATTTTCAAAGTGAATAATGTCTAGTGTTGGAACTGTTAGGAAGGGATAGATCCCCATTGGGTTAATTGTTCCTTTCTATATTGTATCCATTGTATTTAACAGTAGTTTTCCTCGTTTGGTTTATGTTCGACTCAAAAAAGAGTTTTCCCGACGGCAGGTAAATCTAAAACGTCGATCTTTGAATTTGAAGGTGATAAGATGATCTAAAAAGTATGATATGAGACAAGGTTTCTTAAGACAACTGTTTATATTTTAGATGGCGAACACAACATCCGAACCAGAGGTGACCTATGTCCACTATTTAGAGACACACCCCATAGAGACATCTTTCCTGATCGTCATCATGCTCATTATTATCACCATAGGCACAGTAGGAAACATATTCATCATAGGAGCCGTCGCTGTAACAAAAAGCCTAAGGACAACGGCTAACTATTTCGTTATTAACTTGGCTATATGTGATGTCATACTCGCGGGGCCCGTTAACATCTTCTTTGTCGTGGCTATATTCACTGGCGAACGTTGGTTCGTTATTCGGAAAGAATTCTGCGGCGTATTGGCGTTCGTGTGCCTCAGTGCGTGTCTGGCGTCTCTCGCCTGCGTGGCGTTCATCGCCATCAATCGTTATGTTTGCATTTGCAGAAGTAGCGTCTACCCTACTATTTTCAGTAAGCGCAACACGATCATCATCAATATTATTATCTGGGTGTACAGCATGTGGCTTAATTTCGCTGTTTTGGGCGGCTGGGGCAGGTACACGTACGATCGGAAGATGATCGGCTGTGTTTGGGACCGCATGGAACATCGCGCCTTCAGCTTAAGCTTCCTCGCTGGGGTATTCATCCCTCTCGTCACGGTGGCCATCTGCAACGCACTTATATTCTGGAAGGTCTATCAGACAAAAAAGAAAATCGCAAGCGTTGGAAAGGGAGGTGATAAAAAGATGGACAAAGAGATTAAACTAGCAAAAGTCCTGTTTTTGGTCTTTTTGATTTTTCTCGTCATGAATTCGCCTTTTGTGGCGGTGATTCTCTTCGACTCCGCCGATGTTTTACCAGTTGTTGTGTACGTCATCGTAGTCCAATTGATGCATGGAAACGCCAGTGGTGTGAACTGTTTCGTTTATGGAATCAGCAATAGAGCGTTCAGAGAGGGTTACAAAAACTTTTACTACAAGATATTCGGAGTGTGCGGAGTCAAACGTCCCATTGGAAAATCAGCCAATGGCAACAACAGTAGTACGAATGGTAGCACGGTCGTAACCAAGGTAGAAACTTGAATATGGAAACCGATGCAAGACTAAATAACAACAATTATCAATATGGAAGAGCATGGACAAAAATTGCAACTGATGGAGGACAAATTTCCATTGCTTTATCTTTTCTTGTTTTCCCCAACATGGAAAATACTTCTTTTTAGTGATACTTTAGTGTTAAAATTGTATTAATGCTAATTTTCAAAGTATTAACATTTTTATGAATATAGAATTTTTAAGAAATGTGCTGACAAGGAATGACGCTCTCCATCTCCGAGTGATGCCTGAAGTATTTCTTGCCTAAAGTATTTCTAATATGAAACCCACGGGCCGTATAATAAGTGGGCCTCATGAGAGATAAACCATTAGGGCAGACGCGTATATATTACATTCAAACATTCCATAAATATCGAGTAACAGAAATCATTAACTTTACCAGTCCAATCATTTTGATCAATGAAATAAGCCACAAATGACAAAGAAGGAAATGTGTTTACAAAATTTATTTCAACATGACATATTCCTATGTACCATACAATGATCACAAATATCTACCTTTGATGACTATGATATACCCATTATAATTGTAAACTTTGTACATATTGTAAAAATAATACACCTGCCAACGATGATGTAACAAACTAGAGGGAATTACTCAACATGCGTTCATCACTTTAATACCGCATGCTTTCATAGCCTCAATGACTGTTATCTGAGAGAAATGCAGACTTTGAAACATCTGGCTTGGATTTAAATAAATAACAACATTTAGATATAGATTGATTTTGGTTGGAGTCCATGATTATGTTGCATAATTTACCTTAAGTCCTTTTAAGTCCCAATAAAGTGCTATATATTATTAATTGCTTTATATTAGCACTTGTCAATAATTATATTATTGCCGACTTATATGGACGTTATTCAACCTTAAAAGATGATATATTTTATGACTTTTTTTTGTTATATATAATTTTTATATCACCTTATATTACTAAAATCAAACTTCAATTAAACCTTCATGCATTCTATCACAAGACTTGTTCGTTTGCAGGATTTGATATCACAATGAAAACAAGGCTAAATTAGATCAGAATGTATCTCAATATTAAGTCAATACAACAGCACCACTTACAGGTAAATTGGTAATATTACGTTCAGGTAAATATGTGTGTATATTGACACGATGTCAATATAAACAGCCCAACTTACAGGAACATTGAGAATATTACGTTGACACAAATGTGTATATTCCAAAAATTTGATTGTGGCTATAATTAGAAATCATCTTGTTTGTCTCGCTGTTTCACAAATTTTGTATTCAACACAAATAACAAACAAGACATAACATGCAAAATGTCATCACCTGCCATTTGTAACATTTGTTACAAAAGCTGAACACCAAACAGCTACCGACAAACGCCATCTACGAAAAAGTTGGAGACTATTAACATTGTGTCACCACTTCTGCTGGAGACATAGTTATGACATAATCACAAATGTAATCCAATTTCAACTTTACAAAACAACAATTATGAACAGAAAAAGAATGTAACATGAGAAATATATCATTGCAAATGGTTACAGAAGTGTAACGATTTGGTACAGATGCTGACCACCAATGTTAAATAGCAAATACCCAAAAACAATTGCTATGACAGGTTCACAACTTCTTTGTTGTAACATAATAGGGAGTTTAAGCTTGCATATAAAACTGAAATGGCAACATATACGTATCACCAATCGCCCATACAAATGCATCGCTAAATATTTTCTGTTCATGTTTAGATTGTAAAAATGATTGCAAGCTTAAACTCCCTATTACAGAATCTATAGGCTGAATGTTGTTACTAATATCCTGGGAGAATTATCTAAAAATATAAAGTGATCATTTTAAAGCTCTCAAAAGTCTTCATGTTTTAATAGAACGAGTGTGATATTCCATATAATGAGCAAACCATGTGAGCTAAAAGTTCACTGTTCCGTCCTGATTAAAACAATTCACAAGCTAATATACAGTAATGGAAATGTAAAATGGAACATCTCTTTAATTAAGTGGAACATCTCTTTAATTAAGTGGAACATCTCTTAAATTAAGTGGAACATTTTTTTAATAAGTGGAACATCTCTTTAAGTTGAAAATTTCTTTGATTAAGTGGAACACTTCTATAAGAGGAATATTATTTTGAGGTATCATGTGTTCAACTGGACTAAATCATATGTTTTTTAATCAATCTTCTCAACATCGCTTGATGTTTCAACCTCCATAATTTCATCCTCATTCTTATGATCATCTTCATCATCATCCTCTTCCTCATCTGAATCATGTTCCTCATCAGACTTGGCTTCAACAATGCTTGTCTCAATAATATCATCATCGTCATCATCATCCTCATTTACATCTTTTGTTTCACTGATATTTGAATCGTTGGTGATTTCAGCATTGTCCTTAATACTGGAGGAAGTATCAGCTTCATCTTGAAGACTGACATTATTTGAGTCCTGTAGACTGACATCATTTGAATCTTGTAAACTGACATCATTTGATGTAGGATCTTGTATGCTATCATCATTAGATGCGGTGCTTTCTTTAGTGTTCTCATTCATGTTTGAAGGGCCTCTGTAGCTGCCATCTCTACTCTCTGAATCCAGACTTGGCAAGCTATCTCTCGATGCTCCATCGAACGCTTCAATGTCATTGTCTTTAGGCTTACTACTATTTACTTTGGTAGCATCTGAGGCATCTTTACTCATAGAGTCATCCAAAGTAATGGAATCAATTGATTGTTTGCTAGTATCCGCACTAGTGCTGTCTTTACTTTCATCAGCATTCTTGGATTCTTCGTCACTGTCTTCTTTTGCTTGTTTCTTGGATTTATCATCATCTTCATCATCAGAGTCATTATCAGAACTGTTGCTAACACAGACAACCTCAAAGTCGTCCCCTTTCATAGCAACCCTATTCGTACCATCCTCTTCTTCATCTTCCTTCGCAGCATCTGAAGCACATGAAAGACAGTTTGTTACTTATTTATTTTACCCTTGTAGACTGTAACATTTAGATCATTTATCAGAGTGTTCTCCCTTTAAGCTAATGGGCATTGGCACCTACTTCAGATTTTGAAGATGTTTGCGGCCACAACATACAATTTGTTAGACCCCAAATGCAGAACACCAACCAACGATTGCCAAACATCATCCACCTAATTATATGATATTATATTATATTGTATCATATTATTTATTTAATTCATATTTAATAATCATAATATCATATAATTATAGAATATATAGACTATAGAGTGGAGAAAACTTATTTTTTAGCTTAGGCTGAATTTTTTGTTGCTATGTTCGAAGGTAAGTATCAAATAAATACAGGATCAATAAGTTAAGAAATTGTGCTGTGTGAACTTACAATTATCATCAATTAGTGCCAATATATTTCTTTAAGGTTAAATATCTTCTCTTTTCATAAGATGTAATTTAGCTAGGAATGCTTAAAATGTCATTTAGTCAGGAAGGCCCTTTGAAACTTTACATTTTCGACTGGCAGTTAGCACTCATTAAATATTCAATTTTCAACAGTTAGTCAAATATACAATCAAGTATTAAATACTTGTGGATGATTGACATTGTGAAAGGCATAATGAATCTTATTGATTAACAATAAACAATGTTATTTACTTTACAAATAAAATCTCTGGATTTTGTTGAACATCATCATGCAAAAACAAAGGTGGCTTCCTATCATCTTCCACCTAACGGATTACCTTTTTGTCAATCAATTTACAGATACTTTCTCATATACATATTGAATATTTATGTGACTGTCATGAAAAGACGGGAGTTCCACTGCTGAATTGATGATTTGCGATCACCGAATGAATTCTATCTTGTAGTGACGTCACAATTAAGCACCCAGCTTTAGATGTTTGATTTTGTGAGAATATCTTCTATATTTCGTGCTTTATTGATTTATTTTTCATGAAAGCGTTTGATTTGACTAGATCAACATTCATGCTAAGCACATACCAAGTCTAAAATCTTACTGACATGATTTAGATAGCAGTTAAACGCCCCCCTGATTTTGACAAAAACGGAGGGCGCTTATAGGCATCGATGTTTAGTATGAATTTCACCCAAACCTCGCACATATATAGAAATAATCATGATCTAGTCAAATCGGCATACCTAAATAAATATAAATATCCGTGAATATCCGACACATGGTTTTCATAAAAGAAACGACAATATTTTTAGCTCAAAACTGCCACGTGTCCGCCATTTCGTGATTCCATCATGTCTAATATCTTTTCTATATGATGCACACCAATAAGACGAAATACATGACAACAGTATCCATAAACAAAATTCCCGAATTCTGATCGCAAAAGGTCAATTGAGAGAGGCTTTGCTCTATAGCTTTGAAATCTTGTTGGAGTCTCTGTTTAAGGAGATTTACACATTAAACCAGCAAGGAAGGGGAGGGGCTTCCTAAAAAAGTATTTTCTCCTCTTTTTCAAAGGCTTAAATTTTCCTTTTTTGTTTGTAGGTATTTTATTCTTTTATTTTATGAGTATTTTATCAAAGTGTTACCTATCGTACAAAATAGCCAGCCCTAACTGGGCTTATGAGACACATGAAACATTTAATTATTACATGTAATCATAAATATGTCTCGTATATTGGGTGTTCCAAAAATGAATCACTTTTTGACAAGTGTTTTCTCAGCAATTGATTTATCAAACTTATTGAAAATTTCTATACAGTAGCATTTTGGTATCTTCAGCAAGTTGTACAAATATTAAACAAATCAGTTACATATTAAAAGAGTATTTACTATTTCGGAAATGCATGTCAAAAAATCCAATATCAGAGCTGTGCAATAACACTTCATAGCATTTGTGCCTGGTATCAGGTGATTGAATCTTTCAATCAGTCGAAGTCTCAAAACAAGTTTTAAAACATTGTCAGGTTTATTGATTTGTTCCTTTGTTCTCTGTTTCCAAAATACTTTCTGTTCGAAGTTTCAGTTTTGAGGGAAAAATGATGCCTTTGTATGATAAGCGATACCTATACTATTGAAAACGGTTTCAAGGTGAAAGGTTTTGGTGGAAGATTAATCATAAAGGAACTAGAAAATGGCAACTCCACGGAGTAGCAAATCCCAACGAACACTATATAAATCATCAATCTGTACAGTTACAATGTAATATTTACCATCTACTCTTACCTTCAATAAATATACTAAATCATTGTTGTATCATGTAACCATACTTGCAAGATAACTCTAAGTAATGGCGAATTTCTGCTCTAGTCAGCCATTTTGAATTTTCAGAGGCGCAAATCAGAAAAACAATGCCATAGTTGTGATATACTCTGAAATACCTTCAATTTGAGTATAATATAGCCATACTTTTAAGAGATCAGAAGATTTTTGCGAAATCCCACATTAGGCGGCCATTTTGAATTTTTTGAGGCCCGAATCAGAAAAACGCTACAATATTTACAATCTACTCTAAATTGCCTTTCATTTGAGTATAATAAAGCTATACTTCAAAAACATCTCAAAATTAACGCAAATTCCTGTTTTTCCAATCCCCCATTTACGGCCCATGGGGGTCAGGGTGAAAAACCCGGGATATAGGTGAAATAGATAGATGTTGTCAATATACTACCAAAATTTCAAATAATAATATTTATTAGTTTGGTTTAAAATGAAAAACATAAGATTTTTGCGAAAAATTCCCGCCATTTTTAAACTAACGGCCATCTTGAAAAATATACATCTTTCTTTCTTTAATAAGTTAAACATCTCTTTAAGTGGAACATTTCTTTAATTAAGTAAAACATTTCTTTATAAGTGGAACATTTCTTTAATATACATCTTTCCACCAAATATGAAGAAAATCTGTCTACTAGTATTCGAGTTATCTTCCGGACAGACGGACTGACTGACTGACGGACAGACGGATGGACGGAGGGCTTCACTATATCCCTACAGAACTTCGTTTGTTGGGATAATTAAGGACAAGAGTTAGTTATGTTACTGTAAATATACTTATAAACAAAAAAGCCCTACATCCAACATACATTAAAGGTCCAGATAATTATGTTCCGGGAGACAATATCGATGGGAAATCACACAAATACTTGCCCATGATACCTCAAGGCTAGTCTATAAGAATTTTCATTAAATTTGAGTGATCAATTGCTGAGAAAACACATGTCAAAAAGTGATCGATTTTTTGGGGACACCTGATATATATATATGATTCTCTCTTATATAAAAATAGAGTTCCACTAGTTTTGCAATAGGTATGTTGAATATTGGTTTCTGCTTATTGTTTATAGCTATTTTTATTTATTTAATTAAAGTGTCACCTATTGTACAAAATAGCCAGCCATAACTGGCCTTCTTGTACTAAAAATACAGTTCAAATAGTTTGCAATAGGTATATTGAATTTGGTTTCTGCTTATATAATCGTATAAGGTCTGAGGTCAATTTTGAGGTGCATACGCCATATAATGACGAAATACGTAACTTTTGGTAAAGTCATGTGAAGCAAAAGGGGAGTTATCAATCTCAACATGACTCTTAAAGTCAATACTGCACTCCTATCATATTATATTACCTAATCATGAATAAATATTGGAAAAAGTATAGGCATATATACAGGAAATGACGTTCAACAAACATGTCTCATTGATGCACTCTACTAGCTTCCAGCAATGTTAATTCAAAGTAAACATCCTAATCTTCCAATATTTACGTATAGGAGTACATTGCGCAACCTTAACACTTAAGCTACACGTGGATTTAAGATGAAATATGCAATAAATTCAGAAATGTGGCTAACTGGTCACAATATAGCACCCAATAATGGTGCAATAAAAAAAATTTTGTTGTTAAAATCCCACATCCCAGGGGGTACATGGGCCAACCAGGGGTTAAACTGCATCATTGACTAACGTAGATGATTGTAATAGAGATTAGACACATTGAACCTAAATACCCACAATTGCATACTTTCCCTACAAACGACTCCCTTTTTCTTTTTCTTTTGTACCTTTTCTATTTCCAATAAACATTTAAAAAAAACTCTTGTGTAATCAAATACACTTATTTTAAGTGTCATTGCATTTTCATTGTTTTTCCATAAAAAAATGTATGTTATTGTAAAAATTGACTAAAAACTGAAATATATATTATATTAAATATATTAAAAAAAGAAAAAAAACTCTGGGAACCCATTTTTGTTAAAATGTTTACCCAAATAAAAGCCTATCAGGAAATAAACATACATGTAGTTGAATGGTTTGTGCTCTTTTAGGATGTCCATACAGTGTTCTCTGGTCACATCTACTATTTGTTCAAGCGGAGAAATTATAGCATAAAGTATAAGACAGATTACCTGTGGTACTAGTTGTTTTAGTGAGGACGCCATCAAGGACCCTCGTGCCTTCTTCAGTTTCCTTCTCCAAGATGTCCGTTGTGTCCTTCATTAAAAGAGAAATTCTCCCATCAGATTTAAAATCATAAACAATCTGGTACAACTCTCACAACTTCTCCATTCATTGCATATAGTACATATATTGGGTGTTCAAATCATGGTTCAAAGTTATTATCAAAAACTTGTGTGGGGTACTATGTATTTGCCTAGATATTTTTTAGTGAGTAAAAAGAGAAAATCTATGTATAGGATAAACTGTTAAAGGTGCTGTATTGAAACTGTCAGTAAGGTCACATTTAATTACTCTGAACATTTCATTTAAATTATCTTTTATCTTAATGCAAGTACATAAAAATCATATTGAAACTAACCTCATTTGTATTGCTTGTTTTGCCTTTGGGGGTTGAATCTGTAGTGTTAACAGGAGCATGTCCACCTATAGTAAACAATAACATTAATTTAAAATGTATCAGGTCCGTAGCCAAGGGGGATTCGATGGGTTCGAGCGAACCCCCCCTGGCCAAATATTCTTTCAAAATCATGCAATTTCTCACCATTCTGAGCACTTTTTAAGTGATTTTGGCCACTTTAGGACCACCATTGTAAAAAATGAATCTCCTGGAATTTTCCAAAAAGTGAAACCCCTCTTGGCAAATCCTGGCTACAGGCCAGTGTATAACATTATAGAGGATGATAGTGTATGGTCATTCATGAGTGAATATGTGACAAGAGTTTAGGATAAAAAAACAAAGTGGCTGCCAAAAAGAAACATCGATGAAAATTTAAAATCAATACAAAACACTTTTTGCTTGAAAAATATAGTTGATCCCCAACTTCGTATTTGTATCGAAAGTGGGGTGAGGAGGTAACGTTAGTAAACATTTGAAGCAAAACAATTTTATCTTTGTGGGAAATCATATTAAATATTAAAGTCCCCGTCTAAAGTTTGAAAATATTTTTTTATCATTCATTTACTATTTGTCAGGACTTGAAAAGTGATTTTAGAGATTTTTGAACAAAAAAAAACTTTTGAAAAAAAAGTTGTGAGCATTTCATTTCTCAAATATTCAAATTTCCCGCCATTTTTCAAAAAAAGTTGAAATTTCTTAATCATCAAATATTTCTTAATGCATTTCAAAAAAGATTATCTTTTTAACACCAATGCAAAGGTTGAACAAAGGACACACTATTTCAATAATAAAATGCCATATTTAATGGGCCACTTCAATGTTTTAACATATCAAAAATATTTTGAAACATTAGTGATGTCACTAAGGTACCAAAAACTTTTTGAAAAAAATTGAAATTTTTTTCTCGATGTCAATCTTTTCTAAATATGTTAGACTTTCATAAAAAAACAATGTTGATTGTCTAACCAGGTTAAAAGGAAGAATAAATTATGTTTTAGATATCATTGTACCATTGGTTTCAATGAGAACTACAATTTTGAAATGCATTTTTCTCAGAACCATTTTCATGCACTGATAAGTTCATTTCTCGCTTATTTATGAACCGATTTTCTTAATTTTTTCGGCAAAAAACATGGGAGGATGAATGCTATGCATTGGTATGAATTGTGGCTAATTAGAAGATATGAGTGACCTCTAAAAGTTGGTTTTAAATAAATTCACAAATTTTGGAACAAAAAGTCTATCAAAAACCACTTTTTGAAATTTAAAAAAAAAGTTTCACATATCACACTTTGATAACATTGGGTAAGACTACAATATAACCCAAAGTGGTTTAAACTTTATATGGGGCCTTTAATGAAAGTGATCAAAAGATTTTATTGATGTGTTGCTGTTACCTGACATATTTGACTCGAAAAACAAGCCATGTTATTGGAAATACAAACCCCCATAGTTGTGATCAGTAGTAAATTACAACACAAATGTACACAATCAGAATACTTCATCATCAATGAATCAATATGTAACTACGTTATATTTGATGATAATGAAAGAAGTGCTTAAGGGACCACCTCAGTTGTCGTTATGTTCATTGGTACTGCACTTTTCAAACGTTACGTTTTCACAAATAGAGTTGAAGGCAGAATTTCCAAGGCACAAGTGTGTGTCAGTATCATATGTTTCAGAAAAATCTACACGTTTGCGAACAAATAGTTTAGAAGACAACAGAATCATAGATCTAATACCTCACTAAATATTACGTAAACAGAATCGGTTAGAAGTGCAGATATTGACCGTTTTTGTAGTTCAGTTTGCATTTAACCAGAACAACGGCAACGCCAAAGCGTAGCGAATCGCATTGAACAGAAATGGCTGGCATTTTTACTTCGTTCGATGGGATAAAAATGAAGAATTATATAGTCGCTCCTAGCGGCTTCTGTCATCTGAGAACTATTTAGATCTTATATATGTTTGTGCGGAAAAGATTGGGATGATTTATGCTATATCTCAAGAAAGCAATGAATAAGAAAAATCTTACTGAATTTTCTAACCGAAACCGTAGCCATCTTGTTCCCGAAACAGATCCATTTCAGTAACAGCGTAATCGAGTGCAGTAGCAACGATGTCGGCACCATTTATTATACACTAAAGTCATATCAATGTTCAAATGCTTTTGAAGTCAAAAGTCACTCAAATAATGGTCTTGGATATTGTGTCAGTATTGTGCACCCACTAGGTATTCTATGGTCATATCCTTCATAAATGTTCTGACCTTTGACTCTTTTAATGTTAACAACAGCATATCAATGATGAATGATAACCTTATATAAAAGTGACACATACCTGAGGCTGATGGCTCCTTCTCTTTTTTATCTGCAGCCATGTCAGCTTTAGCTTTGGATTCCTCAATAGCTGCAAAAAACATAAAAATAAATAGAGGCCAATAATAGTACAAAAACGTCATTTCAAAGGGCAACATTAAACAAATACTGGATGATCAGGAGCTGGATATGGCAGAATACCTATTCGAGAAAAAATATTGGGCGAGGCGTATTTGTTTTATTATGTACCTCCCATTCAAAGTTAAGTGGAGTACTTACTGGAGTACAGGCTTAAACTGTCGTTTAGTTGACATTATTTTGACATTTATTTATTTTTTCTTTCAAAACTCAGACGACTTCCGGCCAGTTTATTCGCTACACTGGACGAAAATATTTGCCCCGGGAATTTAATTTTTATTTATTCGAGACGTTCTTGCAGAATTATATGTAACTTTTGAATGATAATGGTAATTGTGATTGATTAAGTACATTTTTTTCTTCTGTTTCCGCCAGTTTCAGATGTAAGCTTTAAGTAGTACTCCAGTTATTAAGAAATAAAACTCTGAAGTGGGAATGTTGCAAAGGGTCTCGAAAGGGTCAGATATTAAAAAAATATCCGGCAGTTTTCAGAAAAGAGCAGAGTATTGCCAAATTACAAGCAACTAAGAACCAATCAGATTTGAGTATTTTAATGAGGTGCATAATAAAGTGAAATATTGGACCAAGGCTTCAAAAAGTTTTCGTGAAAAGTTATTACTATTATTACCACCGTTAATGACCAGGGCTGAAATAGCAAATTTGAAATAGAAAATCTTACGCACTGAACGATATCACTTTTCCCGGGAAACATAGCCAGGCGGATAATGTCATTATTGCCCGACTAAAGTCATTAACGCCCGACACAATATTGCTCACGTCAATATAGCAATTTAAATGCCTTCTCAACTAGTACTAAAACCCCTAGAACAGGCCCTGCAAGGTGGTAATAATGTAACTTCACTATTCAAAGTTTTGCAAACAGGTACATCTTAGCTTGTATTCTGAATGCAACTAACGCCTATCGGCTACCGGTTTAACCTACTATTTTATGGGTAACTAATTTAAATATGAATAGTACCTGCCACTATTACAAAACAACCTCATCACAGTTTACGAACCTCATGTTAAACACTGCCCAAAAAATTGTGATTTGCTGTAAAAAAAACTGCCACTATTCCATTCATATTTAGAGGAGGCATAAGTTGCATTCACGAATACAAGGTAAGTCTTCATTAAATTTGTGTCATGATTTAAAGATTAACATTTTGACCTGACCCATATAGCTAAAACTGATCTTCAGGAATTTATCTATGAGATAACATGAAGATAATAAGAAAAAAATTGGCCATAAAACACTAGAAGCATATATATTGTGTATTGTATTGTACTAGAAGCATATATAGCTTTTTCAACACTAAAGGAATAAAGAAACAGGTATATTGATAAACAATAAAGAATAACAAGCAATAAATATAGATTAATGACTAAGATTACCGTAATCAACCTAAATCATCAATATATTGCATGGCCAGAGTTTATTGGGAGTTCACACATAGCTAGGCTGAAGGCGTGTCTAATTCCAGCCAATCAGAAAACCCTATTTCACATAACTTCATTGCAAAAATATATGGTACTACTCTATTGCACCCAATGGCATTTTTAGATTCTATTGAAGATGATTAATTTCATAGATGAGTAAAATCTATAAATAATATCATAGGGAATAAATAACAAGCCAAGCAAGTGCTTAATATGCAGGTCAAATGGTAAGTCTTGAATGGTTGTCAAGGTGACAACTTGACCCTTGCAAAAAGTTTCCGTGAAAATATATTCTTTTAAAATCATTGAGTACAATACTTATTTTAAATCATTCAAAAATATTTGAGAGAATGATAATTGTATTGAAATATTGATACAGGATATGTCAAAAGTGATATTAAACAAATACTGGATGATCAGGAGCTGGATATGGCAGAATACCTATTCGAGAAAAAATATTGGGCGAGGCGGGAGCCGAGCCCAATATTTTTTTGAGGATAGGTATTCTGGCCATATCCAGCTCCTGATCATCCAGTATTTGTTTTATTATGCACCTCTCAATCAAAGTTAAGTGGAGTACTTACTGGAGTACAGGCTTAAACTGTCGTTTAGTTGACATTATTTTGACATTTATTTATTTTTTCTTTCAACAAAACTCAGACGACTTCCGGCCAGTTTATTCTTACACTGGACGAAAATATTTGCCCCGGGAATTTAATTTTTATTTATTCGAGACGTTCTTGCAGAATTATATGTAACTTTTGAATGATAAGGGTAATTGTAATTGATTAAGTGCATTTTTTTCTTCTATTTTCCGCCAGTTTCAGATGTAAGCTTTAAGTAGTACTCCAGTTATTAAGAAATAAAACTCTGAAGTGGGAATGTTGCATAAACATTGAAAAAAATATCCGACCCTTTTTCTCGAAAGGGTCAGATATTAAAAAAATATCCGGCAGTTTTCAGAAAAGAGCAGAGTATTGCCAAATTACAAGCAACTAAGAACCAATCAGATTTGAGTATTTTAATGAGGTGCATAATAAATTGCATTATTTTGTTTGGGATAAATATTAACAGTTCTGCCATGCTCAAAACCATGCAAAATGATAAACTTTATCTTCCTGTTTAATAGCGGAAGATTGGTCTTCCTTTTTGGAGGGGAAGCCACTGTCAAGGCCAGAGATGGCCTTGGAAGGTGAATGCTTATAATGGCAATCCATATCCTCAACATAATGAATAATAAATAGTGTTTAAAGTTAGTATAGATGTAGTCAAAACATTAATTACATGTATACATAAAAATCTTGAAAATCCAATGTAGTACTTCACATTTCAGAATGAAATGTTGAGTGGAGATAACAATGTGAGAATTGCTAAAAGCTTTACTTTTATATATTTGAAAATAGACACAATGAACCTGTTTAAGATAGGTAAGGACTTCCTCGTTGACGTAGGTAGTTACCAGTTTCATCGGAAGTACATGTATTTACACTGTAATAGTGTTTCATATTACTATATATCAGGTGTCCCAAAAAATGAGCCACTTTTTGACAACTGAAAATTTGTACAAAGTAACCTAAGAGTATTATTAGCAAGTTGTAAAAATATATAAAAAAATATTCTGTGAGTACTATGAAATTCAAAATAGCATGTCAAAAATTCCCATACCGGAGCTCTGGTATGACTTCTATAGTGTTTGTACCAGCTATTATCTTCACACGCTCGGTCTTGACTGGGTTTGATGAGAGGTGAGTGATGTCTGATCAATTCTTTTCATTCATCCAAAATATCCAAAATCCAATTCATTCTCAAATTCATTGGAGGTGATATTGTTAGAATAAATACGGAAAAGTATTTTTGCTTAGAAATGGATTAATAAGTAACTTTTACATTGATATTGGTTATTTGGCATACTGTCTTTAATTCTAAAATACACACATAATATGAGACCAATCTCTTACATATTCATGGCAATAGCAGACGATACTCTAAAATGCCTCAGGTAAAGTTTCTAAAGAATTTGGCATATCTATTGCTGAGAAATTACTTGTCAAATTGCTTCTCATTTTTGGTAGAAACTCTATAAAGTTCTCATCGCTTTTCTGTGGTATGGACTATTATGACATGCTTGAATTACTTTGTACTCGCATAACATTTAAACTTGATCTTTTTCACAATTTTATACCTTGCTACCGATACTCTTGGGCTACTTCCCTTAGAAAAAAACAACCATTTTTTCCGAATTTCAACCGTTAAAAACCATTGCGTAACCATTAAAAATCATTGCGTAACCATTGCTGCAACCATTTGAAATGGTTTCCAACCATTACATTTCAACCATTAAAGTTTGGTTGAAAATTTGGGTTGCATATCATTGAAATTATGGAATCATTTGCAACCATTACAAACCATTGATTGTTTAGTTGCATTTTACCAAATGGTTGCAACTATTTTCAACCATATCATGGAAATAATTTAGTTTAAGAATGAGACAATTAAAAACATGAAGAACATACAAATGAATTAACTGCATGAATATGTTTCAAAATATGGAAGTTCATGTTTATTGGCATATTATTTCTAATTAATTGAAGACAATAAGGTTTATTCATTTTTGGCACTAGAAATTAGTTCATTCTCATAAGCATATTATTTCTATAAAGAATAAGGTTTATTCATTTTTGGTACTGAATATTACTTTAAGTTCATGTTCATCGAGATATTATTTCTATTTTATTGAAGAGAATCAAGTGTATTCATTTTTGGCCTGGTCATTCTTGTAATTTATTTGGAAACTCTTTCTTGATTCATTCAGTTTTACTGAACAATACAACAAAACATTCTGTGGAATTTTTCTATTTCTCTCCTGTCTCAACAAAAAATGTTTCTGACTAAAAATACACACATATTATGAAACATCAAAGATTGTATTTCCTGCCTGTTGTTTATGATTTGGATTAATTAAGCTAGTGCCGAAATAACTGCTTCTCCAATATCAAAGAAGTCTTATTACAACAATTAAGTAGATTAAACTGAAATTTTTTCCAATACATGATTTTGAAACATCAACATCCTTGTATTTATGCTTTGGATTAGGCAAGAGCCGGATTGACTGTTTTTTCCTCAATATCATTTACAAATCGAAAAATTTTAATTATTACTATTGGATTAAATTCAAAATCAGCAACCAACTTTATCAATATCAGTGTTTGAGTTACAGAAGAGATACCCTCAGGTTCAGTAATCAGATAGGGAAGCAGAATCTTAAAATTTTAAGTACATGTACCTATCATTAGATGTACAATACAGTAAAATCCATACTTGAGTGAAAGCCCGGGGAGTGAAAGCGTATCTGGATGACTGAAGTAACTAATATTCAAAGACAGACATCAAGGCAATTTGTACACCCCAATTTGTCTACCCCAAAAGCTAAATCCCTGTTCCTGAAATATTCTTGCTTAGCACAGAGACATAAAAAGTCTCTGCTTAGCAATAGATTAGATGCAAGTATAAATGATATTGATATCATTTAATATTCATGATTAACTTAAAAATTAAATAGAAATAATATGCATATGAGCATGATCTTGAAGTCCTAAGCACGAATACACTTCATCCTCTACAATCAAATGAAATTAATCAAATAGAAATAATTTGAGTATGGAGCTTTATTCTATGGTATAGAATATGGATATGTCTCTAAATTGTATTATGAACTTCTAAATTAAGTATTGCTACAAAAAGAGAGAATTCATCAAGACCATAGCTGGTTTTAAAAATCTTAATGTGAATCTCATCTTATTAACTATGATTGTGTCATTATTCAAAAAATTCAAAAATAAATTGTTCAGACAAAAATAATTTTTAGAAAGAAGACATAATTTGTAATGATTTTATTATACTATCAAAACAGAACTTTATCTAATTGGCTGTTCAAGGGTTATAATTAGCATTTCAATGGTTATAATTAGCTTTTCAATGGTTATAATTAGCATTTCAACCGTTGCCGCTCTGTCTGCGTAACTGTTGCTGCTCTGTCTTGGTACCTTATCTGAATTCAATAATGTAAAATCTTAACTTGTATTTTTACAATTTTCTAAATGAAAGCCTGCAAAATTAAACAAAATTGAATTGAAACAAAAAAGAATCTTTATTTTCATACAAGATTCCATCATTATTCAGTCTCCTAAAAAACGAATACCCGATAAGTGATTTGGCCAAAGAAATGTGTTTAATATCCTAGGGATAAGCTTATATGGTATATACAAATAAGTGTAATGTATAAATATAATGTTTTAGAGATCGATTTGAAATGCTCCTTAAATATTTTTGTGTCAGATTTTAATCGGGTACTGCATTCCTGATAAGAGGGCTCTAATGATTAAATGAGAAAGTATTTAAAATTTAAAAGTTATCATTGTCCTCCAGGCTCGTAAACAGGGTTGTTCAGGGGGAGGGGCAGTTCACCCTGGCCAAATATTATTTCAATTCATGCAGTTTTTCACCATATTGATCACTTCTCAAGTGATTTTGGCCAGTTTTTGGGCCATATTTATCAAATGTGAATTCCCTTGGAAATTTTTAAAAAGTGCAAAAGCTGGCTACGGGTCTACCCATGAGTGTTCATTTCCAGAATTAATGATTGCAACAGTTGCAGTTCTCCATCAATGGTTGCAATCAATTGTAACTGTTAATTTCAATGGGTAATGGTTGTAATGGTTTTGCAATGGTTTCTCAAAAATGGTTGCGTAACCATTGCAACTTTATGTAAAAAGGGTTGAAAAGATTGGGTGCAGTAATGGTTGCGCAATGGTTTTTAAAGGTTGAAATAGTGATTTTTCCTTTGATCTTCAAGGTTGAAATGATGGTTACATGATATGCAATGAAGCCATTGAATTTCGGAAAAATTGTTGTTTTTTATAAGGGTTTGCACAAGTTTTCAGTAAATTTGGTTCACCATTTGCCAAGATAGTACTTGTCAAAAAGTGGCTCATTTTTTGGGACACCCGATACACATATGTATCATGGTTATTCTCAATGAGATGACATGAGATGAACAAAAGGTTCCCCTAAACTTGCATAATTAATTCAATAATGGACCAATGTTCCCCCTATCTTTTTTAGTTTGATTATGATACTATTCTTAATAATTTTTTGCTCAGAAATGATTCTTTTCTTTGATACAAAATATATTACCTGCTCTACACAAGAAAAGATATGTGGTCAAAAAAATATCAAAATTTCAAACTTGCTTGACAAACAAATTTCAAAACCACACTTTTAGATGTAATTGTGTCTTCATTAAGTCTCATAATCTAGACTTATAATTATTCAGAAACAGAGAAAGGAATCAACTATTTATGTTCTACTCTAACATTGTTATTTCTCATGCTCCACTTTACATTGACCCCAATCTAATTGACTCAATTCAATATTTTCCCCTGTACATCAAGGATACTTGAACTCTAATTTACACTGTTATTGACTTAGGATCACTAGAAAAAAGCAATAATATCACGTAGCGAATAATCATGACTTTTTGCCTATTCTTCACTACCACAAATAAGTTTTCCAATACACAATAGTTCCACTTATCACACCATTATCAATCAAATAATCACACCAATTATAATGCTTTCATGCAGCATTAGCTCATTTTGGAAGAAAGTTTATTCAAAAACAAGTATCTAATTCTGCGATAATACTGATACGCCTATAATTACTGACAATGTGATCAATAAATGATATTATAGATGTTGTTTTTGTAGTCTTTTATTTCCAGCCTGGAGAATTTTATTGTTCTTTAAAACACTAGAGCCATTGAAGTAGAAGGGCATTAACCAGTGCCTTGCCCGCTGCTTCCTGCTAAGGCCAAAGTTAATAAACAGAATACAAAAGCAAAAGTGCCAAAGGGGAAATACACAGCACGGCAAGGTCAAGGCACAGAATGAACAACATTGTATCTACAACACTGTATCTCTGAATAAACAAGTGAACAATATGGTACCAAAGGGTAAAAAAATGGTCATCCCAAAATTTATCACACATTCACAAAAAACTGTTCTTTTGGATTTTCATATTAGGTGACATTACAGAAAAGGGCAAAAAAGTGAGACAGTGCCACCTATATACCAAGATGATGGCAATATTGTACAGTAAAACCTGTGTATCCAACACCTCTCAATGTGAACACTTTTTGGTGCCATTTTCTTAAATCTACCATAAACCATCTGCTGGCTCCATGTTAACAAATTAATGACAAGTGAACAGCTGCCAATGTAAACACTGGTCAGTCCAAAGGTGTTTGGATGAGACAGGTTTTAGTGTTCTGATTTAGGTATTAGATAAACAGTTGAAAGATAAGAGCCCTCTAAATCTGAAAAAATCAGAAAATATTATTCAGTAGATGTTACTAATTTGAGATTTGCAAATAGGCTTGCATCCACCTGAAACACATATATAAGGGTAATGTACTGGGAGATTTTGGATACAGGGTTTATCCCAAGGGAAATAAGTGTATCTCACGAGGGACCGCAGGGACTGAGGGAGATACACATATTTCCCGCGGGATAAACACTGTATCCAAAACCGACCGTACATAACTGGTGTATCTCATACTTGAGTGGGTTTGGGGTAGATATAACCTTTACCACCTTTTTCAAATGACAAGATAGGCCTATACTGTAAAAGCACAATTTATATTTAACATTTTCATAATATTCCTTCAGTTCAATACAATAGAATTGTAACATTTAAACTTTTTGAAAAATTTTAAACTTCTGAAATTTAAATTTTTAAAATTTTAAAACTTTTTTAAACTTTTGAAAAAATTCCCGGGAGCGGGATGGATATATTATATCTGCCTGCATTTGGCCTAGAGCGGGACATATACAATATATCTTGCCCGCTCCTCAGATATGATATATATTCCCGGGTGGTATCTACCCCAAACCCACTCAAGTATGAAATACACATATCTATTTTATACTTGTATAACCAGATTACACAAGACTAGAGGTAAAAGACACATCACACATAATCAATACCTAGCCCAACAGAGAGGGGAAAAGATAAATCAATGACATATCCATTGGATGACTGCTTCTGCTAAGAAACAAACTTCTGCTTACATGTATTTACCATTCAGGCAAAAGACAAAGCAGGGTGTAAAGGATTGATTCAAGACTGGTTCATAAAAAATCAATGAGAAAGCATGAAGGTTACAGTAACTGAAAAGGTAGAAAAACGTATACCCTCTGGTCCAAAAAAATCTATGCATCGTCATGAAATGCTCATTACTTTTGATAATGGAAACCATACAATTGCATAAAGATGTGTGTAAAATTTGGATAAAATATATGGAATATTGATGTTTTTTTCAAATTAGAGATCGGTAACTGAAAAGGTAGAAAAATGTATATATATAATTTGAGGACGTGGTAAATGATGATTTTATCTGCAATATACATGTATAGATTTCCAATATCTGAGAAGTTATATGCACATCAAATATATTTTTTTGTTTGTATAGCATATCATGAAATTAAAGAATAAAGAAAAAAAGGTTTCACATATCACACTTTGTTAACATTAGGCAAGACTACAATATAAGCAAAAGAGGTTTAAACTTTATATTAGAGGCTTTAAACATTACGGGTTTGTGAAAAGTTATGAAACCAATTGCACTTAAATCAATGTTTCTAGACAGGCATTGCCAATTGGACATTGAATGCAGATATTTTCCCACAATAGCATCCATATCATTTAGCAATTCAATAAATATAAATAAAAGGCATTCAATAAATAATTAAGTAACGACGTGTGTATTAATTGAATAAAACAAATGTCAGCCAGAGGGAAAATAAAAAATATAGATTTCCATTTTTCTTTCCCTTTTTGTTACATTGACCTTTAAAAATTATAGATGATAATAACTGTTTTAGTGTAAGGCCACCCCAGTTTGCCTATCCCCAAGGCGACATGAGGGCAACATTGTTTTTATGTAGTTTTTTTGTAAAAATGTTTGAAAATATCATCACCCACCATTTGTTTTAGACAATAGTAAATCATCACAAAAAAAAACGTAACAATATGCCAACACAATATCCCTTTTATATCCCTCCTTGGAAATTATTTAATTACTTTTTGCAAGGGACACACAAATTATCTAAAATGCAAATGCATCTCAAAAACATTTTCATGCTGTTTTTCTGAGAATTATGGAAAAAAAGTAGTTTGCATTAAAATTTAGAGAGTGTGTGTAAATTACCTTGAGCAGCAATTGCAGCTATCTGGGCCGCAAAATTTCCACTGTTCCCAGATGGCACTGGTGTAGCCTTAGCGGGACTCTGCGTCAAGTCAACAACTGGCTTTGAGGCAGGGATTACCTGTAGGGGTTGTGGTAATCTGGGGGCAGGGGCTCGTTGCAACGGGTGGGTCAGTGGCTGCACAAGTTTCTTGCCTACTTGACCCTGGGGGGCCTTGGGTTTGGCTGGGGGGTACATACTTGGGGGTCCAGATTTCTTGGTACGGAACATATCTGTCAGCAAGTCTGTTAATTGTTCATTCACTACAAGAAAAACATACCTTCATTTACTTCAATAATCAATTTAATTTAAATGAGCAAAATAAAGAAGATACAGTAGTAAGCAATGCAGTTACATTTTCTTGTAATTTAACATATTCCAGAGATTTACTAAAAGTTAGTGATGCCACTGTCACTTAGGATGACCTGAATCATGGTTGATATTCGTTGATCATTTTTGTAATGTCCAGATAATATAACTGAAATAGTATTATTATAGTTTTGACTAAGAATCAAAAATGCAAATAAAATAACCAGCGAGAACTGCCATTCTAAATTGGCTGAGCTCGTTTATGTAATCATATTCGTCAAATTGATTGGCTTTATTTTAATAAAATGTACATAATGCTCATGAATCACGTCAATGATTCACTTCCGACCACATTTAAAATATTAAATAAAATATTAAGCAAAAACCTGAAATATGAACTGAAGGATCATCTTGTACAAAAATCAAGTTAACAGATTTAAAAACCAGAACAACGGCAACGCCAAAGTGTAGCAAATCCCATCGAACAGCCATGGATGGCATTTTTACAAACAAAGGATATAGGTCGCGAGTAAATCTCAGGCACGACATGGAAATTTGAAATTATAGAGGGCGCATTTTCATTTTACACATGGCGAAATGAAACAAAGATTTCCCGGGAAATTTTGGACAATACTAGTATATTAATAGTCTATTGTACATTGTACAACCACATTTGATTAGCACGATCACAAATCACATAGGGACCAATTAATATGATCTAAAACAATCAACCACGTACTGACCGAGCTTAGTAAAGAAAAAATATCAAGGATCAAGGTACTTACCAATTTGTGATTGAATCACTTATGATCAGGAACAATCACCTAAACCAGGGAAAATCAAGTAAGATTAGAACAATTGAGTACAATCACAGTATCAAAACAAAATATTAAGAATCACAACCAAACAATTGCCCAGAAGAGTCAAGAAAAATTTAAAGTAATAAAAACAATCACTTAAGATTGAACAATCACCTGTAAAATTGTTTAGGATCGACCCAATCCCTAAGGATCAAGACAGATGCCAAAGATCAAGATCATGAGGATATTTCTAAGGATCAAAAACATTATCACTAAGATCAATAACAATCACCTAGGATCAAGATTAATCACTTAGAATTAAGAACACCAAGGGCTCAGAAGAAATTTTTGGATCGGGAAAAATCACTTAGTGTGCTGTTAATGGGTTCGATAATGTAAAAGTCCAATATAAGATGAGATATAATGCATTTTTATTTGAGACATAAATACTATAACTTGACAGACATCTAGCAGCCCCTCGGCTATTGGCTAAAACACATCACGTGGTACAAAAGTAGGTCGAATTTGTATAGTCCCGCCATATTTAGACAGACTTCCGGTACAAGTGCACTTGGATTTGCGCCCTCTATAATTTCAGATTTCCATGTCGTGCCTGAGATTTACTCGCGACCAAAGGATATAGCAAAAATGGCAGCCATTTTTCAAAATGGCTACCTTCTACCAAAAGTGTCATTAGACCATGTGCCATGCTTATAGTATTCACATACCAAATATGAACACAATCGCTCCACTACTTTTCAAGTTATAGTAAAATATGTTAAAATGGCGGCCATTTTTCAAAATGGCCACCTTCTACCAAAAGTGCCATTAGACAGTGTGCCGTGCTTATAGTATTCACATACCAAATATAAACAAAATCGCTCCACTACTTTTCGAGTTATAGTAAAATACGTTAAAATGGCGGCCATTTTGAAAAATGACTGCCTTCTACCAAAAGTGTCATTAGACAGTGTGCCGTGCTTACAGTATTCACATACCAAATATGAACAAAATCGCTCTACTACTTTACGAGTTATAGTAAAATATGTTAAAATGGCGGCCATTTTGAAAAATGACTGATTTCTACCAAAAGTGTCATTAGACAGTGTGCCGTGCTTACAGTATTCACATACCAAATATGAACACAATCGCTCCACTACTTTTCGGGTTATAGTAAAATACGTTAAAATAACGAGTAAAGACCGCCATTTTTCAAGATGGCTGCCATGTGCTTCTTTAATATCTACATTTCTATCTTTATTAATGTCCTATATAATTTTTTTACATCTAAAACATATTGCTATTACAGTTTTACATATTGCATCTAAATTACTGTAAATTCCGCACTAAAATGGCAGCCATTTTGAAATGAGCGGCCATTTTGAAAATTGGCTTTCGAGCAGAACTTCTACCCCCGTAGGGTATATGTGTACAAAATATGAACAAAATCGGGCCAACGGTATCTGAGTTATTGCCCGGACGGACGGACGGATGGACGTATGTACGGACGGACGTACGTACGTACGGATGGAGGCGTTCCCTATATTTCGATGGGATAATAAATTGGCTCTGTGATTCTGATGAACATTCATTGTCGGTAAAACAAATTGGTAAAAAACTGGAACTATTATAACAGCAAAATAATATATCCTTGAAAAGTTAACATAAGTAATTAATGAACAGATAAATAACAAATAAACATGATAATTATAAAAATAATCACTTAATTAAGGAACAGTACTCAAACACAGACATAAATTTCATTCAAACCATGGGCTTTCAATTGAACTAGAATTGAAACCCCATGTTCAAACTTGTCTTAATCTATAGATATAGAATACTTTAAGCTGTGACTGAAAATTGACCCCGGTGTTATTGTAAAACCAGCTGTCTAATGTGAACACTGCAGGCTACGGCTTTGTATGGAGAGGTGTCCTCATTTACTTTCAAAAAGAAAGAACTTCAAAAAAGTTGGTATATGGAGTGTTCACATTAGGTATTCATGTACAATTCAACTGAACACTTTTACTCACTCTGTGGCAAACTCAGGATGTCTTGATCTGAATTGACATTGTAATAAACAAAGATTATTTAATTTAATAAATCTTTGAGAAACTTTTTATTCACTCATCACCCTCTTTATATTCGCAATAACTGCTGACCAAATTCTCATTGCTGATTATGTGATGATATTTTGTACAAAAAAAACAGAGTACTAAAGAGAGATGTTCAAATAACATTTCACAAAACATGGTGGTCAATTGGGCAATTTAATGAGCAGAACATCAAGTTTGGGCATGAAGCATCCCTTAGCACAATGAGAACAACACTTTAAACTCAACAACATATGGGGCTCATAACAATTAAAGTTGCGAAAGAGATATTTAGGAGGGGGTTGGTCCCAAAGCTGATACAGATACAGAAATAACATTTTTGGTTTCCAAAGGCAACTCTCATATAGACAAACAGAATGGAAATGTACTTACGCCTATGGTACTTAGCATCTGCTGGATTAGCTTGATATGGATTGTTACGTACTCTCATACATTCCTTGGCAAGGGCATCGATCTTCTCCAAGCTACAACAGTAAATCGTTTTCTGAATGTGGTAGTAATTCAAAAGGAAACAAGAATTGAACTTTGAGGAACAACTGATTTAAAACACATATTGCTGGTTGATAGGAACGGAACAAGTATAGAACCTCAAATGTCATTTATGTGTGATTAATGATTCAATAAAAAAAACACACATGTATGGATATAACAGGTAAATAAAGAGGGGACAAGTATAGAGCCTTGATACACAACTGATTAATAACTAACCTAGACTACATATCATTCATAAGGGAACTAGTATTACTAATTAATTAAATAAATAAAAAAAGAACAAGTATATAGAGCCTTGGGGAACAACTGATGTATTAATGAATACTCACTCTGCAGGTTGTATGCTACTAGTGTCTGTTGATTCTCCCGATTCTGCACTTCTTACAGCTTTAAAGAGGTGTTCCTCAACAATAAGCGCATGCTCCAGTAACTAAAAAGTTTTAATACAATACTGTATTACTTTAACAAATTAGTGAATGTATTAACATGTTATTGTAGATTTATTACCATGGTGATGGATTAATGAATAAATTGGAATTGAAAACAAAATTTGATAATTTTAGAATAAGAAATGGAGCGGAGATATTGAGGAATGTTGGCTAGATTGAAATAATGAATTTTTCTCCACAACTTTTTTGAGAGTGTACAATGTGATTTTCAAACACATATGAGGAGACATGGTTTATTCTTTTGTCATTCAAAATACACTTATCGTAGCAAGTACTTACAGCAAAGCGACGACTCAAGTACTTGGCCTGGAGGTAGGGCGACATATCGGGCATGTTGCGGAATGGCTCCCTGAGGAACTGATATCTCGGATCCTGCCAAATAGCAGCCCATTGAGCGCACCCGTGAACAACTACTCCTGCAAGCAGCCAGTAGTCATGACGACGATGCCATATTTGGGCTTGTGTGTCTTTTGGGAAACGCATCATTATTCGTTCCTCATTCTCCCACACTTTCTTGAGATCAGTAAAACCACCTTCTACGATGTTGAAGACTCTTTGAAGACATTCCAATGTGTGTTTTTCCTTCTCCTCGGGTGTCATCTTTTTTTCTTTTTCTTCTTCTTCAATCTCTTGAATGTCTTTCTCTTTTATCTTAGATTTAACTTTTTCTTCTGATTTAGTCTCTTTCTTTTCATACTTAATTTCAGGTTCATCTTTTACATCTTCGTCCTTACTTTCTTCTGCTTTCTCCTTGGTTACACCCGAATCATTTTTTGTGGCAGTATCTTTTGATTTTTCATCATCTTCTATTTTAATCTCTTCTTTTGATTCAGTCTTAACTTCATTATCTTTATCTTCCTTGCTCTCATCCTTGACTTTTACATCTCCATCTTTTGAAGTTTCTTCTTCCATCTTTACGTCTGTCTTCATATCCTCTTTGACCTCTCCTGTTTCATCATCGCGCTTAATGTCTTCAGATTTAACTGATTCATCTTCCTTAGTATTTTTATCTGCTTCCCTTGATTTGTCATCAACTGAGTTGTTCGTTTTATCATCAGTCTCCATGGGTTCATCTTTAGTGTCATCTTTACCTTTCTTATCATCAATTTCTTTCTCTTCATCATCCTTTGCATCTTTCACGTCATCCTTGGAAGTCTCCTCCTTAATGTCTTCATCCTTGCTGTCTTTGTCTTCCTTCTCTTCATCTTTCATCTCATCCTTGGAAGTCTCCTCCTTAATGTCCTCATCCATCCCGTCTTTGCCTTCCTTCTGTTCATCTTTCAACTCATCGTTGGAAGTCTCCTTTTTAATGTCTTCATCCTTGCGATCTTTGTCTTCCTTCTCTTCATCTTTCAACTCATCCTTGGAAGTCTCCTCCTTAGTGTCTTTATCCCTGTTTTCTTGGGCTTGTTCCACTTCATCTTTTGCCTGTTTGTCTTTCTTCTTCTTTTCATACTGTTTTACAAGGTTAGGTGACATCACATATGGAATGCTCACATATCCATTGATCTTTTCAAAATCTGCCACCTGTAACAGATTTGTATATTTGACTATTTGCTATGCATCTGGATAGAAATATTAACTTAATTTTTCTAATTTCAACAATATCTTCAGTGAAATTCTAACAATTGTTGCGATTTTTATACCTTTCTGCGTACGAGTGCCATCATGCCTATCCTTGTGAGCACATGATGACGGGAGATACCTTCACGAGGGACCCCATCATTGAAATTGATGGCACTATCAGAGGTAGGCTCACAGAGATGGCGAAGGAACATAGAGACGTATGCCCGCACAACTTTCTCAGGCTTGGACTTCAACTCCCTTGGCAGCCTATGTGGATAAAATAAAACATAAATTTTATTTTATTTTTGCATTTACGGCGAATTAACAAGCAGTTATTTAACACATACATGTAAAACTGGCTATTTTGTACATTCCTTTAATTAATGATTCAATTTAATGGACCATTTGCTAGCTAGGGATTGTTTTAAAATCTATTTAATTACCATTTTGAGTTGTAAGGATCCTCCGGAGGCATTCCATATTTCATTACAGCCTCTAAGAAGACACGCCTTTGTCTTGCAGTGAATCCAAGTACCTCAGTTTGGCCATTGATCTTGGCCAATAGAGGGGGCATAGGAGCATCGGCAGCTGCTTTCTGTGCAGCTTGGATTCGTTGTCTTTCTTCAGTCGTTTCTGAAAACAGGTATGAAGTATTGTACAAAATAACTAATGCTTTTTATATAGTCAGTGCACATCCCAACTCCACCCTCTAAAATCACGGTACCATACAGTACCATAGCTGAAATGGTACACGATGGTTCTGCAGCAGATTGGCTGTGTAATTAGTTGACCTTTGGATCTTAGTTAAAAGTATACCTACATGGCTAGTACATAGAGTTTCAGAGTTCACACATACATTAATAGAGCCCCAGTGTCTATACTGTACTTCATGTATGGGTTATGTATGCACAAGGGCCACAAGAAAAGGACAAAAATTTGTTACAGAACACAGCAAAAATTAAGAGTACACCAGTTGTATGGCAAACAAACCCCAACTAACCTAAATCATAATCTAACATGAAAAGAAACGATGTCATGTCAAGTATGACATATACACAAAAATGAACAGTTTGATTTTCTGATATTTTCTCAGTTCTGCATTTTGTTCAATTCTTTATCTAACTCTTTTTGTACTTACTCTTTTTGTACATGTCTGTGTCACTATCAAAGTTAACTTCACTGTCAGAGGAATTCTCCACTTCAGAGTCAGAATCAGAAGGATTGTAGTCGGATAGATACTTGACAGATTCAACCTCTTCATCATCTGAATCTTTGTCCATCTCGGAGAAATTAACACGACCTGTGTCTTTGTAGTTTACCTGGCAATAAGAGATCACAATCAGTTTGCTTTATGATGAGTCAAATAAACTTTTTAGCAAACATCATTGCATATTGCTTATATCAAGCAATAAATTAAATAAATAAAAAAGTTGTCTGCAACACTGTTTTCAAACTGAAGCAAATCTGAAGCTGTTAACAGTCAAATGGAAACACCTGAAAAAGTCCTAAAACTGCAATAGGATTAATTGAATTTATTGCACAGACCTGTTTTCTGACTCTCTTTCCTTTACCCAAGGTCTTGGCCACTTCCTCTTCCTGCTTCTTAACCTGCTCCACATGTTTCTGATGGGAAGGTCTCAGCACACGATCCCAGAATTTAGGGTCCTCCTTTTCCTTCTTTTTCCGTTCTTCCTCTTCCTTCTTCCGGATCTGCTCTGCCAATGCTTCCTCATCTTCTTCATCCTGGAGAACCAATCAAAATACAGGAAACCTGTTTCAACGACCAATCAAAATGCAAGAAACATGTTTTGACAACCAATCAAAATGCAAGAAACATGTTTCAACCAATCAAAATGCAAGAAACATATTTCATCAACCAATCAAAATGCAAGAAACATGTTTTGACAACCAATCAAAATGCAAGAAACATGTTTCAACCAATCAAAATGCAAGAAACATGTTTTAGAATTTACATCACATTAATCAAGTTAAAGATTACCTTACAAGTTTCAAAAATGAATGAAACAGCAGAAATGATGAAATAAAAATACAAATACAGTAAAAACCTGTGTAAATCGAAAGCCTTTGCTAACTTTGGAAGAGTGCTCTAATTAAAAGTATTCCTCTTATGAAGGTGTTCATTTCCAGAGGTTTAATGCACAAACCCAAATTTTCAATCCATCTCATAAAAAACTGAAACTGATTCAGAAAGCTGACTTACATCTTCTTCTTTGACTTGGTAGGTTGCAACTTTGAATGATGAGAGATAGTCATCCAGAGCAAGTTGTTTTTCCTCAACTGCCCCCTGACTCCTGTCAAGCAGATTCTCTATAGCTGCATCATCATAGACAACTACAAAAATATGATATATATATGAGTACAATATAAATAAGATGATAGATAGTCATCCAGAGCAAGTTGTTTTTCCTCAACTGCCCCCTGACTCCTGTCAAGCAGATTCTCTATAGCTGCATCATCATAGACAACTACAAAAAATATGGTATATATCAGTATATACTAGATGAGAGATAGTCACCCAGAGCAAGTTGTTTTTCCTCAACTGCCCCCTGACTCCTGTCAAGCAGACTCTATAGAGCTGCATCATCATATACAACTGCAAGAATAATGAGATTTATGTATTTTATGCACTGATGTTTTATTTAGTCCAGTATTTATATTTACTCCAGAATTACTATTTAGTAGGGGTGAGAGGACAACCCGATGAGTCGAGGACTCGCGGGTTTGGGGCTTCGAGTCGAGTCGAATCGAGTCGAAGTTGATGAATCGAATCATTTTCGAGTTGAGAAAAAAATTCGAAAAAATAAAAAAATTCAGAAAAATACTGTCAATATGCATGTTTTTACTCGATATTGCGTTGAATATATAAGTTTCAATGACTTGGATATGCTTGTATTAAATTATTATATTGTATGTACACATAAATGAAAGAATATATGTAATAAAATCAGAATAAACTTACGACGAATTGTGTTTGTTTATATTTCCGGCTTTCCACCATTGACGCATTAAAAATATGAACGGTCAAAAGCGATGTTGTTCGCACTTCGGCGACTCGAAACGGATTCGAAACTCGAATCGTCATTTTCTGACTCGAATCGGATTCGACTCGAATCGGATTTTTTCGACTCGTCTCACCCCTACTATTTAGTACAGTATCGTTATACTTGATAATTGACAAGAAAGAGCTTAGAGCCAAATCAGGCTGTTAAATACATTTTACAACAAAATCAAAATCACCTTTTCCTTCCGCATTGTCTTTAAAGAGTTCCTCTGCACCAAACTTGAGAATATCTGAGAGTTCAGACTTTGTAATGGAGGCTGCAGATTTGGATTCTTCTCCATCTTCTACTAGACCACCTGTCAAACAGAACATGGCATCATAATTTAGAGGACATGTGTAACATGGCATAACAACCTGGCATACAGGACATGACATAACAAGCTGTCAAACAGAACATGGCATCATAATTTAGAGGACATGTGTAACATGGCATAACAACCTGGCATTTAGAACATGGCATAACAACCTGGCATTTAGAACATGGCATAACAACCTGGCATACAGGACATGGCATAACAATATGCCACACTTACAGTCAATATGGTACAACGAAAATGGGACTTCTGCGCATGTTAAAATTTTTTGTCAAAACTCAACTTTTGTTCAAGTTGATACGATTGTCTTTCGAACTAGAGACTTACCTCATTCGAAAGATCATAAAAGACTTTATCTACATGTATACTGAAAATCTTAGATCCAAACATAGTAGAATACGCCGTCAGTCCGCATTTGATTTTTTGAAGTGAGTTTCGTAGATTGTCAGATTTCTCCGACTGATATCGGGTTATCTCAAACTGGTTCGTTTATAAATACGAATTTGTTTACCGTTGTAAGGCGCATGCGCAAAATTGATTTATAAACCTTATTGGTTGATGGTTTTTCCCCTGCGCATGTGTGAAGTCTGATGAACACTTATGACGAAGACCGGAGCAAACATTACTAGCTCTTGAACGAAATTCCAAGATTCAGGTCATTTCGCCGTGTTTGCTAAGCGTGTATACGTGAATGACAAGCTGTTTTGAGTAGATCGGGTACCTGTTTTAGACACAACATTGTTTTAGCTTGACATTGATGTGCACATTGGCACTTTTGAGCATGTTAATACAAGTTTTTACACTCTTAGCACGAGACGGGTTTTCGAAAAATCTGTTATCTGATTCACTCGATTATCGTATGGATATGTATTTCTGCTGACATTTCAACACCACATCACATAGAATTACGATGCAGAATGATAATAAAACACAAAACAACTACTAAATTCCACTTGTTATTTCACAGGAGGTAAAAATGCAAACTGCCTAGATTCTTTGTAAGGGTCGTCAGACATCGGATTGGCCGCCATATTTGAAATGAAAATATCACTAAATAGAGGTCTGCGCATGCCTCAACATTTCGACTGCTTAGTAATGGGTTCAGCGCTTGCATTAGGTTAGAAAATTTGTGAGTCCCAAGGACGCAATTTTTTAAAAAAGTGTGTCCTTTGAAAAAAAAGTGTGTCCCCTATTTTTCAGTTTTTGATTTCTTGCCACGAATTTAAAACTGAAGTGAACGTTAAGTACGGACTGAATAAATGCATGTTCGTTCATTCGACAATGAATACATTTTATTTCAGGAATAACCTAATATTTGTTTCTGAATAGGAAAAACTGTGGCGTGTCATGGTTTCAAATCTAAAAATAAACAAAGTCGAAAAAATTCGAGAGAATCATGATTATTTGTAAATATTCAACATGTTGAGCCTTATTTACGATTCAAATAAAGGTGAGAGATCATAATTATTTGTTTTTGTTAGGTATCATTGTAAACACATTGTAGTATTGACCTTAAAAAACTTTGCGTCCAAAAAACAGAAATATTTTCAATTTTTGCGTCCTCCAAATTATTTTTGAGTCCTTAACATGTACGGGACGCCGTTAATGCAAGCCCTGGGGTTAAACTCTTATTAGTTCAGTGATTAAATGCCCTCACCTTTTACTGTCCCTGCTTTAATAACTAACTACCCTAACCTTTCAATGCCCCTGCATTAATAACTAACTACCCTAACCTTTCAATGCCCCTGCATTAATAACTAACTGCCCTAACCTTTCAATGCCCCTGCATTAATAACTAACTACCCTAACTTTTCAATGCCCCTGCTTTAATAACTAACTGCCCTAACCTTTCAATGCCCCTGCATTAATAACTAACTGCCCTAACCTTTCAATGCCCCTGCATTAATAACTAACTGCCCTAACATTTCAATGCCCCTGCATTAATAACTGCCCTAACCTTTCAATGCCCCTGCATTAATAACTGCCCTAACCTTTCAATGCCCCTGCTTTAATAACTAACTGCCCTAACCTTTCAATGCCCCTGCATTAATAACTGCCCTAACCTTTCAATGCCCCTGCATTAATAACTGCCCTAACCTTTCAATGCCCCTGCATTAATAACTGCCCTAACCTTTCAATGCCCCTGCATTAATAACTAACTGCCCTAACCTTTCAATGCCCCTGCATTAATAACTCACAGCTCTAACAGCTTAATGCCCCTGCTTTAACAAATAACATCTCTTACCTTTTAATGCCCCTGGCTTTATGACTAGATGAGTAAGGACCATCTTCTGCTTGCAGACCTGAGCAATTCTCTCCTCTATTGTGTTCCTCGTGACAAACCTATAGATCATCACCTTGTTTGTCTGGCCAATCCTGTGAGCTCTACTGAATGCCTACAATTGTATAAAAGTGGGAGGTCAGTGGTTCAATTCCCATTAGGGGTACAGTTTTTTTCACAGATAGTGCACAGGATGAAGAATATCAGTCTTTGCTAAATCCAAAATGGCTACCTTAGAACTTATCCTGAGCATGCCCATATAACCAACTGGCTGTATCAATTTCATACCAGGAAATATCAAAGAAAATTCAAATTAATCCAGGGTTTGCCTGGAAATGCGCTGATATGAAAAAGTGATATGTTCCCAAATGTTGGTCCTTAAAAGTCTCCATACATAGGATGATTCATTGAAAAGTTCTTGATTTTCATTCTTTATCATTTGCGATATTACTAACAAAAAAGTTTGCACATTTTGAGACAGATTTTGAGGAAGGGCCGTGTACCTGAATGTCATTATGAGGGTTCCAGTCCATGTCATATATGATGACTGTGTCAGCTGTGGCCAAGTTGATCCCTAAGCCTCCTGCTTTAGTGGACAGAAGGAAGACAAACTGCTCTGAGCCAACAGCTGGAAAAATATACACTTTTGTAATAGGAGGCTCCGACAAAATATCTTTTTGCGAAAATAATTTGCCATGGGATAAAACCAAACCTGGTTTAAGCTCACCAAACATTGATTTTTACATTATTTGACATTGATTTTAAATGATTACCTACTCAATGTTAATACTTTTAATACATCAAAACATGGATTTGTACTACCCTTCTCTGATGACATTTTTTCTGTGAAGTTACATTATTGTAACCAATTTTCAGTGTATTGGTGAGCAAAAAATGTACATGGAACAGAAAAAAAAAATCAATTTTCATCATTAAATATGAGATCATCATATCATGAAATACAAACCAGCATGTTATATTTACCATTAAATCTGTCTATTGCTTCCTGGCGTTTACTGCCTACAATACTGCCATCTATACGTTCGTAGCCATACTGCTTGTACTCCAAAAAGTCTTCCAGAATGTCCAAAAGTCTGGTCATCTACAACATGAAGAGAATAAAACCTAAATAATTTTGTAATGACATAAAAATCATAACAAAGTGAAACTTAATGCCTCACAGTCATCAGTTAGCAAACGTAGCAGGATACAGAATACACAGTTCCTTCTATCAATTTGACATCAAGATTTCAATTTAGAGGTTTCAGCACTGCCTGTGACAATACAAATGATGACATTACAAAATAAGATTTTTATGGCACCCGCCTGCCCACAGAAACAAACACACACCCACCAGCAGAAGAATAAAATGCATTATAACATGCAAAATGTCATCACCTGCCATTTGTTACAGATGTTCAACTGCCGAACACCATCCACAGAAAGTCACTATTTGTGGATGTGACATAATAGCATTTAATCAAAGTGCCAACTGCCGAACACCATCCACAGAAAGTCACTATTTGTGGTGGTGACGTAATAGCATTTAATCAAAGTGCGTCAAAAATTGTACCTGGGAAAATATGAGGACCCTGTGACCCTGTTCCTTTAGTTTGAAGAGCATTTTGTCGAGCAGGTCCAGTTTGCCACATGCTTCAATTAGAGCCTTTCCCTCGTACATACCATGCTTAGTTAGTGGGGCACTCTACAAATAAATACAAAAACATAAATCTATATCAAAACTTCAATGTCACACCGGAATAGCCTGAGAATAGTAAAGTAAGATACTGTTGTCACAAATTTTCTTTACAGAGGGTATTGAGAAATACAGCAAAGATTATGAGATTGAATTTAAACCTGTTCTGCAGAAGAGAATAGATATGGATGTGCGCAACATTTCCTGAGGTCCATCATGATCATTTGTAGACTGGTTTGAGACTTGGTACCTTTCACATTCAGGGCATCAAAGTTTCTAGTCAAGATATACTTGTAGTATTTCCTGCAAGAAAAGAGCATCATGCAATATTACACATATTTGAATGCAATGTTCAATTCCTTCAGTTTTCCAAAATTGCACATAATTTGTCTTGGGCGCAACAGATTTTAAGCCAAGCTCATAGGCAACAAGGCAAAACTAAATCCTGGCTGGATGACAACAATATCAATGATCATATTCATCAGGTGAAATCAATAAAATAATTTGTGGGTCATTCAACTAGCTGTAATCTTACGTTCATCTGCGAAACAGAGAAATCTGAATCGTTTAGCATTTTACGTTTAAAATATGGGAAATACTCAAGGTGACCTTACTTCTGCATTGGAGCTAACTCAACTCTAACAATACATTCACTTTTCTGTGGCATCTCTTTCAGAACATCCGTCTTGAGACGACGCAACATGTGCGACGCAAGCATTTCATGGAGACGTTTCATCTGTTTATCTTTGGAGATATCAGCGAACTCAGACAGGAAGTTCTCAACATCACTGGAATATGAGAAAAAATGTTTAATAGTAAAAAATAAAAATAGTACAGAAGGTAGTAATGTACTGGGTTCACATGGTGTTGTGGTGTAGAAAGTAATATATGATGTTTTCTAAATAAATGCAAGTTGAAAGAATACTTTTTATGAGATAGTTATACTAAAAGAGTAGTTCTGTAATGCATTGTGTCCGTTAAAAATGTGACAAAATCACCAATTTTCAAAATCTGAGACAATCTGGGAGATACTGACAAGTCAAACCATGGACATATAAAGAAACCTGCAAATAAGATGTCATCAATTGAGAGGATGGACAAACAGAGGACATATGCCTAGATGATCCCATAGTATCAAACAAGGCATTAACATGCAAAATGTCACCACCTGCCATTTGTAACAGACACCAAGTGCCTACAAATGCTGAACACTCTTCACAAAAATTTAGAGACTTTAATAATATGTCACAACTTCTATTAAATAATGTATTGAACTTACTCAAATTTATCTGGCGTCATAAAGTGAAGGAGATTGAAGAGCTCCTCTAGATTGTTTTGTAGAGGGGTCCCTGTCATCAACAATCTATATTTAATATTGTAGCTGGCCAGATTGCGGAAATACTACAACAAAAGCCACATACAGCATATCTCATTGTAAACTATTTTAACACGATGATACATTAGGAATTCTGATGGAATGAAATTATATTAATTAGACCAGCACTTAATGGCCTCTTCCATTTCCAAGTAATGAGTGAACATTCGAACATAATTTCTGCACTTAACTGTTTATTTGCTGTGTAAAGTCCATCAATGCACTTGTAAAAATTTCATACATTTTCAGCACTATTGCAATTTTACCAAATAACAATCTTAAGCGACTGGTTGCTTTCAAGTAGTCCACTAGCCAGTTTTGTCTTTATGTAACATTTTTACATTCTAGAGGTCCCATAAAAGGCCATATTTTTCAAAGTCCTATAAAAGCCCATATTCTTAGTCCCATAAAAGGCAATCTGTAAAATCCTATGTGGTAATTAGAGGGGAGTAACATTAGCTGAAGATGGATCAGGGTAGTGCTCTACTTACCAGAGAAGACTGTTTCTTGAGCCTATGTGCTTCATCAACTACAAGGATATCCCAGTCTATAGAGGACAGGGTAGTTATATCTATGTTGGCCATCTCGTAAGAACTCAACAACACATCAAACTTCAACTTATAGCCTGAAAATAAATCAACATTTGACACATAGTATGGGATGTCTGGTCAAAAATCATGTCATGTTCATGGAATGAGTGATGTCGGGAGGAGGAAATATGATATGAAAAATATTAAGTTTTAACTTATTCATGAAGTTTTTCTAAATGATGATGAGAAAATATTTTCACTTATATGTGTGTTATGTGTGAGAATATTCACCAGCAGATACCAGGGGAATTTTGTACGAGAGCTCAACAATATAGAAATGATAACTGAAGCATTTGATTCTCTTCAATTATATCTTACTTACCTTTCTTGACCTTATGTGGAATTTTGGTATTTCTCATGTATCCTTCCTCATAACTGATTTCATGTGACCTACAATATCAACGATTAGACAAATGAGTACCCTCTGTAGCAAAAGTGCCCTAAAATAGGTGTGAAAAGTTTCATCAAGTTTACTTGCCATTTACTAAAGTTTTTAAAGGGTTTCCTCGATAGGAAAAGAATTTTGATACGGAGGGTATCTTATTTTATTCATTTGAATATAAGGATTTCAAGTTATTTTCCGCTAACCATTGGAATCTTTATTTACACAGAATTTCCTGCTTTTAATATTCATTTGTGGAGTAATGCATTTTTCAGTTAGAACTTAATAGGTTCACTCTGGCCCTGGCCTTGGCCCTAAGAGTTTCAACCTGACATGACCAGCTACTGTATCTTCTCTTTTCAAGAGGCTATAAAAGTGAGCTAGTGATAATTACTTCAAGCCAAAGGGTCTCATGGTATACTCTACCTGATAGTAGTTCTTGCTTCCTGTTGGCCTACATAGGTGACCACATACATATCTGGAGCCCAGAACTTGAATTCTCGTTCCCAGTTAGCCACAGTAGAGAGGGGAGCACTGATCAAGAATGGACCATTCACGTAACCCTATATGATATAAATATACAAAATACACTATACACTATACGAGAGTTGAGAAACAAAAACTTTGTAAGAGATAAGAATTCCTTTGTTTTAAGTCCTTTGTTACTATGGAATGATTATATGATTATGATTATTCCATGGTTACAACAATCAAGGAATTCTTAACTTAACAAAGTTTAACTGTTAATGATTCTTGTCTTGGGATACATAAAGAGTTCAATTTTTAGTTTTCTTCGAAAACGAAAAATTAAATTTTCTGTTCCCATTGTAAAGAATTTAAACTCATATGTTCAATTGAAAATCATTCTAAAATATTAATATTAACTGAAATAGGAATATCTCATCTACAGTCATGAACATACCTCCTTCCAGAGTGAGTATATAAAGGTGATGGCCTGTATGGTCTTCCCCAGACCCATCTCATCTGCAAGGATAGTGTCTGTGCCCTGCGCCCATGAGAATCTCAGCCAATTAATACCCTCTAATTGGTAGTTGTGCAGTTTGCCTCCTGTGCTATCTAAATAGTCTGGCTGCTTTTCCATCTTTTTCTTAAGCTGTAAGCATATAACATAGTCTAGTATTAAGTGGAATATTTCTGTAAGTGGAACACCTCACAAGTGGAACACATTGCAAGTGGAACACCTCACAAGTGGAACACATTGCAAGTGGAACACCCCACAAGTGGAACACCTCGAAAATGAGTTTTTGTGTGTCACTGACTTCATGTTGATGAACTCATATTAAGTGACTCTTATGTGGTCCCTAAAAATGCCTAAAGGTCCTTATTGAGTCCCTAAAATTTTAACATGTATATATGCCACTGGAACTGGTTTCCCGTTGAAAGGTGTGATTATAATGAATAAACAGGTATTTATGGTATACGTGTAGATCATTTTAAGAATTTATCAATCAAGATTTACTTCAGAATTTTTTGTCCTGCGTATCATTCATTCATAACACATTCTCAGTAATTTACTTACATGTTTAAGTTTTGGCTTTTTCTCTTCTTTCTTTTTCTTCTTTAGGTTGGCTTTCCTGAAATCAGAGAAATAATTCTAGAATAGTTTTCTTTCCCCATTTTTTCACCTAGTAGTTATGGGAGGTTTTGGATATATCCCATATATTGAAAACATCCAGAAAAAGGAAAATATATTCTATCCTGCCGAGAGACCTATGGTAGAGACATATATATTAGGATATTACCTGTATCCTATAACATATATTTATTCACCTGGGGTCTGGTTCTGGTGCAAACGTAACTCACAATTCTAAGGAAAGTAGAATAATAATGCCTTGAGTTAAAATCGTAAGTTATAACAGTTCCAATAAGTGACCCCCGAGGAGGACTGACAACACCAGCATATACATAGGGGTTATGCACTGGGAGGTTTTGGATACAGGGAATATCCTGAGGGATATACAATATATCTTCCCGAGGGACCGAAGGGACCGAGGGAAGATGTATTGTATATCCCAAGGGATATTCCATGTATCCAAACCGACCGTGCATAACTGGTGTATCTCATACTTGAGTGGGTTTAGGGTAGATATAACCTTTTCCACCTTTTTCAAATGACAAGATATTTATATTTAACATTTTCGTAAAATTCTTTTTGTTCAATACAATGAAATTGTAACATTTAAACTTAAAAAATTAAATTTTAAAATTAAAAATTAAAACTTTTGATATTTAAACTTTTGAAAAATTCCCGGGAGCGGGATGGATATATTATATCTGCCCGCATTTGGCTTGGAGCGGGACATATACAATATATCCTGCCCGCTCCTCAGATACGATATATATTCCCGGGTGATATCTACCCAAAACCCACTCAAGTATGAGATACATGTATATACGCACCTGTGACTATAATATGCTTCCTTAAACTTGTCAAAGTCCTCAAAGCCCAATCTTTTAGCATCACTTTCCTTTTCCCATGTAGCATATTCATAGCCCAATTCCATCCACTTAATCAGGTACTCCTTCTCGCCATCAATTTTCCTGCAATGTATTTCATGAGATATTTCAATGTGCATAATAGATAGATTTACACTCGGGGACTAGGACAGAATCTTTTTTCATGAAAAAGTTTAAAAGAATTATTAAATATAATCACACATAAACATTAAGGCTTGTAAATAACAATAGCATATGTACAAATGACTGACAGTGATCACTAAAGGTAAACTTAGTTTATTGTTAAGAATGACTCATCAAGTTTTCAATTCTATGTGCTAGCTAGCGTGAAGGATTACTGGGGTCAGTGTGAAATTTTGCTGAAATACGCTGTTAGCGCAAATCACATAAACGCGAAGGACAGTACAGTACATTTAGCCCTCCCCCTGGGAAACTTACCTTGTATCAATAATCCTATTGATTTGCAGCCACTCTGGACGTATTCCACAGTTGTAGTACTTGTCCTCCATGTTGTTTACATTAGTGTCCGCGTGTTTGTGACGTTTTGCCCCGAATGAGCTCCCATCCTCTAAGGGTGTCGGCTCTGACATGTCATTATTGTTCATGAATCTATTCAGGGTTGTCCCTGATTTATATACCTCAAGCTATAATAAAACATTGAAATATTTTTATACCAATCTGTAATAACTATAATACTAAGCTTGTATTCGCGAATGCAAATATTAGGTGTACTTTTGCTATTTTCAATTCTGAACACCTCGATAGTCGGTGTTAGTTGCTGCTTTAATACCAGATTAAATCGTCATTTACCTCAGCTACTGGGTTTGGGGCGAGAGCTGGCAACTAACAGGATGCACTGCAGGTACTTTTCAAATCTAAATGAGTTTGCCATCAAATTACAATCAACCCGGTAGCTGGTAGCCGCTATTTGCATTCACAAATACAAGCTAAGTCAGTGATATCACCTGTTATGATTGATCAGGAAACAAGTGTTGCAGAAAGATTGATCAGGAATCAAGTGTTGCTGAATTACTGATCAGGAAATAAGTGTTGCTGAAAGATTGATCATGAAACAAGTGTTGCAGAATTACTGATCAGGAAACAAGTGTTGCTGAATTATTTAAATATGATTATACTTACAGTCATTTCAGAAAGCCATTCACAGTGCCAGTAAGACTTGCTCTTATACTTCACATAGAATTCCTTCCCAATGTACTTGTTCTATAACAAAATATATACAAAAGTGTTACATTACATATCCTTTGACAGCATACAACTGATCTTATTAGTTTTCTTTGTTTTCTAATTTCATCTACCTTTTAGTTTGAGATCCACTATTGAACATTTTAAAAATTCACCAACATGCAATATTCAGACTTTTTCTAAAAATTCTAAAAATCCCCGATCAATAGCAAAAGCAATATTTTATCATTTCTTGGGTATAACAAAAAGGCAAATACTTATAAAATGGACTGTTAAACTACAAACAACATTGACAGACACAACAGAAATTGCATATGTTGTGATCAAACATATACTGAGAAATTATATTTCACAGGTATATTTGGACCAACTGCATGGGATATATACAATCAACTTTATTTCAAATCGTGATGTAAAATAGCCATACCATTTTCTTCATAGGGCTGTTGGCAGTATGGTCCAACTCATCTTTCTTAACAGCTTCGCTTGGCTCTGTCCACCTCCATCGTAAAATCTTAGATATTTCATACTTCACTTCAGGAGCCTAGGAGAAAAAATATAGTTGAGGTCACTCGTCAGGGTGTCTCTATTCAGGGGTGCTCTAGTCAGGGGTGTCTAGTCAGGGATATTAGAGTTTCTAACAACAGGAAAAGTAGAGAAATAACAAGACATTTTAAATCTAGCCTTGGAAACAGTTACTAAACAACAAGAGGTTTTGGATGAAAACAACCAGATCAGAGCATATAAACTGCTGCATATAAACCCCTGTTATTTAAAAATGAAGCCTGCTGATTGGTCAGTTCTTGTGCTGTACCGATCTGTATTGCTACTGAGATTGTCCCCATTGATCAACTCCCTCGCAATACAGAAAATATTGGTCCGAAGGGGACATTCTGAGTAGCAATACAGATGATAACATGATAAAAACGTTATAGAATGATTTGCAGTGCCATACAGGATATATTCTGCTCTCGATATTCTGTATTGGCACTTGACTTTGTCTTGTTCCAATACGGAATTCTCGAGCAGAATATATCCTGTATTGCACTTAAAATCATTCAATAACTTATAGTCTCCTTCAGGTAGGATTGTTATCCGAGGCATTATGTAATAATGCCTGTAAATACAAGTAAGACTGAACAACAACTACATTGGACTTACTGTGCATCTTGGACAGCTCCAGTCTCCTTCAGGAAGGGTTGTCATCGGAGGCTTCAGACATTTAGCATGGAACACACAGGGGCATGTGTCACAACAAATCAGGTCACCCCCATCTTTGCAATATTTACACCAACTTTCGTGGGCTCCTCCATCCTCCTATTGAATAAATAGAGAATTATTTACATGCAAATATAAGAGTCATATCTGGCATCCATTTTGAGACTGGACAATTTAACAATGTTACCCTGGTGAAAATGGATGACATAATTTGTAATTAACGATATTTTCAAAATATAAGTTTGAATTTACACATTTAGAGCATATAAAATCCCCCTTAGGAATAAGTTGTATAGTTTTATTTTTTTAACTTACGCATTCAGGGCATATAAAATCCCCCTCAGGAATCTCGTCAATCTTCAAACAAACTTTGTGATAAGTCCTGGGACAAGTTTCACATAACAGTAGATCCCCTCCATCCATACATATTGAACAGAAGTATTCGTGATCAGTCTACAAATAGGACAAACACTTAAAGTAAAGAGCAGGAAACAGAAATTACAAATGTATTGTACATTTTTGTACAAGAATATAGATATAATGAATATTATATCTAATTATATCATAATGATTATATGTAACATTGAGAGTCAGAACAGAACAGCACTACTGTGGTGTAAATTTAAAATGTAGACTTAAGAATAAGCATTGAACTGTTATCATTTATTTAGATAAATTGGAGATGATGATGGATACTGAGCAGTGTTCTCCACAGGATTTTTTCTCATGTGGGTGCAAATTTCTCAATTTCACATTTCAGACAAACATTGGTCAAAATATGCCAATTTTTCATGATTTTTTCTCATTTTCAAGTGGGTGCAAATGGATTTCAGGTCACCAGGGTACAAGTCTGTTTTCAAAATCTCAGGTTGGTGCTGCGCTTACTTGCTTTAATGCTGAGGAGATCACTGCTGTGAATTTCATTCATATTTAATTGATATTATCATGTTTTAATGACATCAATCATTTATAATTTTCAACAATAACTTGTTTTGGATACTATTATGTAAGCTTGGAGGCAATGTAGAATGTCCTTCCTTCTGTAGCAACTTGACACCACCTTCTAATTTGCCTCACTGACCTTTTATTGTTTTTAAAAAAATATTCTTTCAAATTCAAGAAATAGGGTGATAAGCAGGAAAATCTTGTAGGGAATTTCAGACACAAATAATAATGAGTGACAACTTACACTTCCTCCAAGTGTATGATGCAAAATTAACTAAGAATCAATATAAAGTAACCATAACATTGTATTTTGACTGAATGCACATTTGAATATTCAGAACTTACGGAATCCTTGTCATCATCTCCTGATCCTTTCTCCCTTGCATCGTCATTTCCCCCTCGCTGTCTAGGTGGAGGACGTCTTTTAGGCTTCTTAACGACTTCTTCGTCAGAATCAGACTCTGAAGTCAACTGCCGTTTTCCCTTCATTAAACTATTGAACTCTCTTTCGGACATATTCGCAACTTTAAAACCAGTACCAGCCTAAAATCATGTCAATATATTACCAAATTTGTTTTGTTTTATTCAGCCTAGAACTGAACAGTTTACACTATAAAAGCCTCAAATGGTTTACTTATAGATAAGGCAGATCAACCAAGGGAAAGATCAATACCCGGTGATTTCAGCGGGAAGTGGCGTTTCGTTCAGTGGATGAGCTGCGCGCGCACGCATAAATGTGATTATCCAATATAATTAGGGGAGGGCTATTTGAAATAGTTTTTGGTCTCAGGCGCGACCCAGGGCTGTTGTCTTAAGGACATTCCGTTGAAAATGAGCCATTCGGCTGATAATTGGTAAGAGTTTGCGATCTTATAATGTATAACTGTTACTCAGACACATATTTTGACACGATTCTGTTGGAAATAAGCTTTGAACCGAGAGATATTCACGATTGATATGCACATTTTTGATTGTGCCATTGCTTTTCCATTGCACAATCCATGTATTGATAGAAGAAACATTAATAATGCAGATTGGTTTACCTTCAATACATGGCAGACACTACATATCGGTCTATTAATACCAGTTTGTGTCTTAAATAGTTTTATATTCCATCCACGGCCTGGAGCCTGGGTGTGTTTGTCTCTTATGTGTATGCTTGTACATGGACTTCTAATCACTAGCAGAATTTAACATGATGCAAACTCGACATTATAACTCATGCTGTAACATTTTGACTTCGCTGGAAAACAATAGGAATTATTTTTCTTGCCAATCAATCATGAATCACAATCAAAATTTCAGAATGATCAGTCAGGCAATGGTCCAAATCAAGTTATAACATTATATGATATTCAGCAAGAAGTCCGGTAGAAATACAGAATATTTAAACATCAAAGCTGAAAGTTAAAAGCTAATCTGTCAATTTTCTGTCTGCAAAAGAGCGCTTACATTTGACACAATAACAGACTGAGGCTTTGAAATCTAGGATTCCCCAGGAAAATATGACGTCATACTAATTAGCATAAGGATTTCCCTATTGGTCTGGGTCGAGCCTTGTTCGAAAACACAATCCATAAATACATGCTAATTTCTAAGGAGATAGGAAGTGTATAACGTGTTTATCGATTTTGTTTAAAGATTTAATCAATTATCAAATTGTTTAAGTGGATAAAGTGGTCACACTTGCTTCAATTCATAGCGAAATCGACGGATAGAAACTGACCGAATTCCCGATATCCTACCCCGTATTACTGTAGGCTATAAGCACAGTGACCTACAGAGGGCGCTATCACAAACAAGTACTGCACGAACCGATAAATTCCCGGGTATTGTATCGCCCTTGGATCAACCAATTCATCAAAACATAAAGAATTCTAATATTTTTCTTTTAACAATTGTTTGTACACTGCCCCAGCCTTACAACCTATTTTACTCTATGTACTACAGAGTTTCCTATGAATCTACCATAATATGAAATAATTATCTCACAAAACGGAGCATTTCAGATTCTTACGTCGTTTCCTATGAATCTACCATGATATGAAATAATTATCTGACAAAACTGAGCATTTCAGATTCTTACGTCGTTTCCTATGAATCTACCATAATATGAAATAATTATCTGACAAAACTGAGCATTTCAGATTCTTACGTCACTTCTCTTGACAGTGCGTCTGGTCCTCGTACTTTGCCTTTCTGGAGGAATCACAGCTTTCTTCTTGGCCGAGTCATTTTCAGCTTCGATGTCTGTAGCGCTCTAAACAATATGAGTTATTTAAAAACAAGGCATAACCATGCAAAATGTCACCACCTGCCATTTGTTACAAATGATGAATACCGAACACACACCAATGAACATCGTCCACAAAATGAACAATGTCACCACTTCTGGTGGTGACATATTAAAAATTGTATTCAGGTAAAATATATATACATTAAAATCTTTTCGATGATTTTAATTAACATGGAAGTCTATTGCAGATTAAAAACAGAATTTGAAAAAAGGACCAGGGTTCACATTGAGAGGTGTTCAGATTAGAGTTGAAAAGTGTTTGGATATTCAGAGTTTACTGTATTTATAAAAAACATTTTATGTACATTTTTTTAGTTTATTTTAATTTTACATTAATTTATAGAAGCAATTTTCATAAATCCTGAATTAACAAGTATTTTGCATCATGCTCCATTCAGAATGTTGACCATAAGCAGATATGACTGAATTTAGTCTCAAAGAATTAAACATATTTAGTATATTTACATTGCTTTAAAAATACAAGGTACAAAACGATCTATTGTTTTTAAAATATCATATGAATCAGTTTAATCACGTAAACATTTTTATTGATAATGTTCTGCTTACATCTGACTCTACTTGCTTCTTCTTTTTCTTTTGCTTCTTCTTCTTTTTTTTCCTTCTCCCTCCATCATCATCATCATCTTCTTCAGGGATGGAGATGTCACTCTCCGAGTAGACTTTAAACTCTTCCTCCTCGTCAGAGTCACTCCCCTTGGCCTGTGGGTATGATTCAATTTCAATTTTACTTTGTGATAAATACTACTGATCTGAGAAGTTTTTTGTTAATACTCGATATTCCAGATTTAAAATGATTTGTGTGCTTTATAGATATTAATGCTGTTTTGAATTTCGATGTTGACCTTTTTTAATTCTTGAAGTGGAAATATTGGTGGCCATATTCAGATAAGGAAAACCATTTTAAATTGAAGAGTTGTTTCAAGATCAAATATGCATATAATATATGCGGGTCATGTCGTGTGCGGGTCGGGTAATTTCAAGTCGGGTCAGAAGAAAAATGGATTTAGTACTAGCAACTGAAATGACCGGTTGAATATATGGCACATTAAGAAGTGTAAATTATTTCATGTTCGTAATTCATACATAACCAAGACTCTGGTTGACTTCAGGTCGGTGTGACACCTCTAGTTATTAGACATTAGTTTCGAAATTGTCCAATAATTTAGCATCTTCAAATGTTCACTACCGTATGTAACATCAGAACTGAATTGACTTAACATACCTTTTTCTTTTTCTTCTTTTTCTTCTTTTCTTGTTCTGAATCAGAATCTTCTAACAGCTCCTCCTCCTTTAAATTTTCCTGCAGATTACAAGAATTGTAAATATCATGCAAAAATACAGTTATCTGTATTTGTCTAAATTTTATACTCCACGTTGAAAATAGATTGAGGAGCCCTCACTGCTCTAGCTAAGGATGAGAGCAACTGGACAAAATGGCACCACAGAGGCACAGACCAGTTGCAATATGTTATTCTCATAATACCTGATGAAGAAATCAACTGGTCCATATCAGAAGTCTGGCAATGACCAGCGGATTGACACAATAGCTCAAGCCCTAGATGCCCCTTCCTCCACCCACCACCAGCATGATGACCATTAACACGAAAATGTCACCACCTGCCATTTGTTACAGACACCACCAACTATCGAATGCCGAACAACATCCATAAAAAATTGGAGACATTTCTGGATACATAATATTCTTACCCGTTTAGTCTTGCGTTCTCTCCCACTACGACGTGTCCCACTGCTAGATGGCCCAGCCCCAATCTTGATTCGTATCTTTGGGGTCTTTTTCAAGACTGGGGGTTCACCATAATCACTATCTATGGTAGAATCTGCGAATAATGATAATAAGTTTGCAAGTAATAAACTGAGCAAGGATTATCTAATTTATTTAGAAAATTGTAGCAAAAGTGCATTTTCACTTTTTATTTTCAGATTCAAGTTCTTAATAACAGTGAGTGTCCCTTAAAAGCAGTATTGAGTTCTGTTTGACAAATACAAATATGCTTAATAATTGTGCTAGTTTTTGAGCAAAACCTGATATGGTTATTGTTACCTTCAGTTGCCATGCTACTGTTTGCTTTCTCAGCATCATCAACTGATGGGTATCCCTCCTCAACAGTTTTCTCACTATCGCTGTTGTCTGATTTTGGCTTTGCCTCAAGGAACTCTCTCCATTTGGCTGCCAGGAGGCTGGCCATGCGAGAAGTGCTCACTCTTGGATTTGCCTGAAGATGCATAGATAAAATTCAAGGAGCATTAAATCACCCAAATTTCAATGAGACATGTATTTTTATTCTTTTCACACATATCTCTAAAACTGAAATGAAATAATTTACGTTGTATTTCCAACTAAATATATGTATTTGAGTTCAGCATGTAAGATTCAAAAATTAGAGAGAAAAGCTGAAACTTATTACTCAACATATTGAGAGAATTGTGGGTTACTTTTGACTTAGCCAGTAAACATCATTTTAAATACTTTAAGCAAGCTTTAATTTTTTTTATTTGTTGATGTCATTCTTGCATTTTCTGGCAAAAAAATTAATTATTGTTGCTTGATTAAGACAATTTCAATTTTATTTCCAAACATTGTTGCCTAGCGCCTGCAAAGTATGACATCATAAATCTAGCCAATACAAACAAGTTTCCTTGGTGAAACTAAAGAAATAAGGGTTTATTGGATATAAAGTGTATTTCACGCAAAATATGCAGGTTTGAGCTGTAGGTACCTCTGTTATAAGTGGCCTCAGCTGCTGCACAAACAGGTTGTATGTTGTGAGATTCTGGTATTCTGCCTCTGTATATGTCATATTTACATCTGTAAGACCCCATTGTTCACACAGGTCTGCCGATGTCAAAATCTCCTGAAAAATATCAGAGGGGTAATATAAATACACATAGGTTCTTTGCTGATATAAAGATGGCAGCACCAACAGATTCCAGTATTGTCTTTTTCCATTCTCAAAATTCATTTCGTTCGTTGCGTACCTTCACTACCTCTCTGACGTTGTTAAAACAGTTCTAAAATTCCCGGGGCACGATCTTAGAAAGCGTCAGAAATTAGTACAATCTGTAATACTTTATCAACAACGCCGAAACTTTAATAAAACATAAATTATAACGTTTACAAATGATTTTACCATCGAAATTGGTAATGTACGTTGTATTTGATGTGCTATTAGGTAAAATCTCCGTGGAGCAACAAATTGTAAAATGTCAAGATTGATAATCACTGGGATCAACATTACTACACGTTTTCAAGATGGCGGTGTCAAAATTTTCTGAAAACGCTTCAAATAATATTAAGTTAATTTCTGGCGAGTTCACCAATATCATAACTTGTTATCTTGTAACAAGATAGAGAAATATGTAAGAAATTCAATTTTATCGATTAAAACATCACATCGACATATGGTATTCGTTTATTAGACGACTAAAATTACGAATATGGGGATGACGTCACTTCAAAACGAACTGCATAGCAACGGGGTTAATAAACAATTTCTGACCTTGCAAATTCCTAAGTACTCATTTTTAACAGTTTGTTACGAATTACTTAATACTTTTCTTATGAATGAATTCTTCCTACATTATAAATAAACATTTTTTAAAATATAATGAATAAAATCAGTAGCGAATGCAAAGAAATATATTTTTTGAAGCAGGTCAAAATATTAAGAAGGACGAAAGGCTCGGAGACTGGTCTTTTTCAAGAGAATATTTATAAATAAACACAGATCGATTACCATGCCATCTTTATTTTAAAATTATTCCTATCGGCCTTTGCCTATGGTAATACATGATAGATATGAGAATAGATCACTTCACCCTATCTAACCAGTGCTCCGCCAGTATTATTGTGTGCAAGGGAATTTTTGAAAGTTTATTGACACACAATTGATCATAGAAAACAATTTTCGATACAAAATAAATGAAACCATAAACAAGTATACCTAATTTAATGGCTTAAGTAATTGGCATAAATTATGAAAATTATGAGCTTTTTTTCCCTCAAAAATTATTTTATTATAAATATTTTTTTCACCAAACATAGAACAAACACCAAAATTATTAACCTTTTTAGTTTGTTTATTTGGCTTCTTCTTTTTGGTTGGCTTTTCAAAATCACTATCATCAGAGGCGGTAGATTCAACCTTAGACTTTTTCTTTTTGCGTTCCTTCCGCTGCTTGATGTTTTCTTTTGTGTCGGTGTGTTTGCGCTTAGCCATTCTGGAAAGATCAGATTTATGTATTTGATAGCTATTCTCCTATCAACATTCTTGTAACGTATGAATAGGAATGCACTAAAGAAACTATCCAACTACATTATAAACTGTGGCTTTGGTTTGATTAATGCTCAATGTCAAGGTTCGGGGTAAAATTATCCTCAAGTGTTCCAATTTCTGCTGTGTCAGTGTGGGTCAAAATCTTACAATGTAATATAATAACATGGCGGACAGACCTCAAATTACAAGACGGCACAGGCTTATTGCACTAAACACTAAAGGCTGTGGATCCCACAATGTAAATAATCTGAAATATACAAATGTCATTCTTGTGCAATATGAATATATTTTTCTATATATTATGGCACAATGGTCTATAGATTTCTTATTTTTCAGGTTCAACTGCTTACCTTTGAAGCAGTGCAACAGACTGTAGTCTAAAATCCAGGTTTGAAAACTCCAGAAAATAACACGAATGACTCTAATTATGAACCGTTCACATTTTTGCAAAGGCAGATTTGGATGACGGCAAACCAAGGTTTTGAGGGCGCAACTTATGGCAATGAGTGCTTCTGGGGTATGGACCCCCCCCCCTTGCTTCCTCTTTGGACAGTCGACATTTGAAAGAGGACCACTGGCCAAAAGTTATTTTAAAATGATACAGGTTTCACCATTCTAAGTTCTTTCTTAACTGATTTCTGTCCAAAATAGTCAAATATTTACCCCCTAGAATTTTTTAGAAATTGAACTCCCCCCTTGGCAAAAGCTAGAGCTATGGGCCTGTTGCTTCACGTTGTAGCATGCTTGTAGCAAATACATTCAAATTTCAGATCTTATCTGTAATTTTGTTGAATACATGTATATATATTTCTTTATTGCGACCATAATTGATCATCATAATATACATTATTTTATGTTAACATATATACAAACATTTAGGTGAACAATACAAAGTCGGGATGATATTTACAAAATGGCGTTTGTTCGATGTTGGTACATCGCATACAAAGTATTAACAATAAATATACAGTCATCTTGCTCATCTGGAGCGAAGATAAAGGGCAATACGCCATCCCCATATTTGTCAATAAGGGGTTTTAATAATAATCGACGACTCTAAGTTCAGTACAATCCTTTATAAAATGAATTAATGTTTCACACTCTCCACATAAAGGACACAATCTATTTTCTTTAGCTTCTGCATACCTCCCAATGGCTTCCCCCACCAGAAGCCGTACCATAAACTTACATTTGAAAATGAGATCAGGCCTAAATTTACATAATTGGTACCATATTATTGGAACTCGATTATTGACGACATCTCTGTACGTCTTAATCTTAGTATACATCATGCATTTTAGATGCCATCTATTTAACTTGGAAACCGCATTTTTAGAAATTTTCTTCCAATGAAATATATTTTAGAGACTTTTTGATGAACCATGGTTTTGGGTAAATGGTTCTTATATATTACAAATTGAGAGCTTTCCAATAGATTTTGTTTTACTTTAATTGTGACATACAAATTTAAATATGTTGTTATTTGCTCTTACCTTGACTGTTTGATATTGTTGTGCACGAAACTTGCCGAAATGTGAGGAAATGTTCAAATTTCCATGTGCTTTGCCGCTTTCTTATTTTCTTTTTTTAAGTGACGTCATCAATAGGTCATGGGTGTTCCACCTGCCACTGAACGAAAATGCTCGGGATTTCCCTTCACATCCGTGTTTTCCCCGGGAAATCTAATAGGAGCATCGGGTTTATTTATTTATTACAGTATTCAATAACAATGCAATATTGATTTCCCAAGGCTCAATCTCACTATAAACATTACCAATATCAATTTTTTGTGTATACCAATAGTATATACAGGGTGTCCCAGAACTCATGAGAATTTTTTGAGGGAGATATAAGGCATGAATGATTTTCCTTCAAATTAAGTGCACTTGATAAACAAACATTGAGGAATAACTCACATGAATTTCAGGCACATATCTTTTATATTTCCGAATTTATTGAAATTTGAATTCTACTTAGGTCGTTCAAAAAGTTTTGCAGTTGATGCCCTAACTTCAAGGAAAATAAGACTTTTACAATGAGACTTGGTACACATATGTGTATACATTTACACATTATATTTTAAATTTGGGACCTCAATTTTGATTGGTTCTTGAGATATGGTTGCTATGGTAACCAGAGTGGTTGGTACCATGTTCAACCCGAAATTACGTTTTTTCCAAATAGTTTTCTTGCTTGAATAAACTCTTTGTAAAGTGGCAATTAGCAGGTGTAAGTGTCTTTGGGTGGCTATTTTTCTTCAAATTCTTCAATATTTCTAATTGTCTCTATGACATCACAATAGACAAGTGACACGATAAGTTCCTTTGTGATGTATACTGTCCCAAACCCAGTTGAAAAATTGAGATGGAAAAATGAGGAAATTTTGAATTTTTTTTCCAAAATTTTGAAAATGGCAGATGTTTCCACACCAACCAAATTGATGAAATGGAAGCATAGAAATCTGATACAGTGCAAGGTTCAAAATAGCAAAACTTTGCAAGAGACTAACACCCCAGTCACATTTGTCGCACGGCGGCCGCAAGTCGACCGCAGATCAATTAAATCGGTGTATTTCTGCGGCGAGCGTAGAAAAACGACGCTCGCCTTGCGGGCTCTGTACGGCGAATGCAGTTTTTTACAGGCCGCAGGGAAGGCGTAGAAATTATAACTCGGAGTTATTATATTTGTTCATTTCTGAGGTCCCCGTAGAAATCAACTGGCTCAACAAGATTGAATCATTATTTGTCAATGTTTCACGATCACTTTTCATTTGATATTACATCCTAGCACTATGAATAACATTTATAAATTGTCCCGATGTAAATAAAATGAAAAAGGTATTATTTATCAACAGAAATTCGAAATTCACCGTGCGGCTGCCGTGGGAAATGTGACTGCAAAAGTATGAGAGCGCAGAAATTCCACGGCGAGCGTAGAAATGTTACTGGCGCAGAAATGATAGACCGCAAGGTCGCCGTAGGAAATGTGACTGGGGTGTTATGAACTGGTTCAGGGAGCATTTGGAAATGATGCCAAAACGTATCCAGAAATTAGATATCTCACGAATAGAATGACCATACAACAAGTCTTTGGAAGCACAAATGCAAAAATCTTATCCCTACACGTTGGTCAAATAAGCAAACATAATGCTCCTACCAGCGTGACCAATACCTGCCAACCTAAGACCAACATTTTGCGGTAGATTTTTTTTAAATTGCTGTATTTTTGCGGTAGATTTTTTCAAAATACGGTAGTTTTTGCGATATTTTTCAACAAAATTGCGGTAGTTTTTGCGGTAGATTTTAGAAAAAACGGTAGTTTTTGCGGTAGATATTTTAAAAAACTGCAGTTTTTGCGGTAGATTAAAAAAATACGGTAGTTTTTGCGGTAGATTTAAAAAAAATACTGTAGTTTCAGAGGTTTGGGGTAGATTTTTGAAAAAAGTGTAATTTTGCGGTAGAAATTTGAAAAAAGCGGTAGTTTTGCGGAAGATTTAGAAAAATACGGTAGTTTTACGGTAGATTTAAAAAAATGCGGTAGTTTTTACGGTAGTTTTTTGAAAAACCGGTAGTTTTGCGAAAGATTCTGAAAAAATGCGGTAGTTTTACGGTAGATTTTTAAAAAATGCGGTAGTTTTTACGGTAGTTTTTTGAAAAAACCGGTAGTTTTGCGGAAAATTTTGAAAAAAATGCGGTAGTTTTACGGTAGATTTTGAAAATTGCGGTAGTTTTTACGGTAATTTTTTGAAAAACGGTACTTTTGCGGAAGATTTTGAAAAAATGCGGTAGTTTTGCGGTAGATTTTGAAAAATGCGGTAGTTTTTACGGTAATTTTTTGAAAAACTGGTACTTTTGCGGAAGATTTGCCAAAATGCGGTATTTTTCGGTAGATTTTGAAAAAATGCGGTAGTTAAACCTTTATACAATGTGGTTTTCTATATCAATACAATGTTTACCTGGGAATTATACGAAACTATTATTTTCAAGAAAAAATAGATATACTATTTTCAAGAATAAATAGAGACTAAACACGTTTTATTCTTCATTTACCATGCCTACAATGGACTGACAGCAACTTTGGATTTTAATGTTTCAGCAAAATGTATATATACAACTCTTTTACAACTCTTTTACAATAAATCTAGATTGATTCAAAATACGAACACAATATTCATATCTCCACTTTTATTCACCTTCTAACCAGTTTTTTTAGATATCAGGATGTTTGGAAATACCATGAATGAAACATTTACTGAAATACAAAATATAGATTTTACACGTTTTTACTCACCATCTAAGATGATCTATCACTTTAACGAATTGAAATGACAGACATAATGTTTATATAACATTGGAATCATATGGTAAATTGTCTTTCAAAAATAATCTGTTATGAACATTTGCTGAAACCTTTCCCCTGAGACATCGTTCAGATTCGGATATCACAATACTTTTATAATAAACCAGAACTCGATGCTTTATTTTTTAATTATGTTTCTGATAATGTGTTCTGATAAAAAATACAACATTTTATCGTACTGTAAACAAATTGATTAAGCTATGTATAATGTACATGTGGCGTTCATTACTGATCATACTGTAACAAATCAAACTACGCATATTTCATACGCTAAATCTGCATACGCATTTCCACTCATTTATTTAGATGAAGCGCAACTAAAATCATATTTTTGTTGCATTCGGAATAAAGATCTGTGTACAAAAGGGTTTGGTTAACTACAAAAATCATGGCAGAAAGAATTCTTTCTAGCTAGTGGTAGTTGGTGTTTGGACTGATTACACGCAAGCTTACTTAGATAAATGCGCAATAACCTGATAACCACAGACCTGCCGATACCTATTTATATTCGGGTTGTTGAAGGAATATTACAGGGACAGTACAGGGAGACTTCAATTTTCAGCATTTTTCCAACAATAACGGGAAATTTTACGGTAGTTTGAACAAAAATAATGTTGATTTTAGCAGAAATACGGTAGATTTTCGAAAATTTACGGTAGATTTTCAAAAATTTACGGTAGATTTTACGGCCGTTCTCATGGAATAAACGAGTTTTTTAAAAAGAAAATTTACGGTAGATTACGAAAAAAATACGGTAGATTTTTTTACGGGCGTTTTTACGGGAAAAAAATTGTATTTTTTTACGGTAGTTTGTCATTTTTTTACGGAAAAACGAAAAATTTACGGTAGATTCCCGTAAAAATACGGTAGGTTGGCAGGTATGGTGACCTAAGACCGGTCAGAAAATTGACATTTCCTCTAGAGCGCAATGTAAATCGAAGCTTTATGTCAAATTTGATACGCAATATCTCACGAATTGAATGACAACTCAACAAGTCCTTGGGGGAACATATACAAAAATATATCCTTAAACGTCTCTTAAATTAACAACCAACAAAATGTTACCAGCGTAACGTTAGACCGGTCAGAAAATTGACATTTCGTCTATAGCGCAATGTAAATCAAAAACTTTTTGACAAATGGGATACTCAATATCTCATGAATCGAATGACTAATCAACAAGTCCTTGGTAGAACAAATGTAAAACGGTATCCGCCAAAAGCTCCTGAATTAGCAAATAGTTTGGTGCCACCAACGTTACGTTCTACTGGTCCGAAAATTGACATTTCGTCTAGATCTCAAACTGTATCAGCGATAAAAGAAAAATTAGATATAAAATATTTCACGACCAGAAACAGCAGTCATTAAATCCTTCGTAGTGTAAACGTAGAAACATATACTGAAACGTCCAACAAATTAGCAAAGGACAAGGTAGTACCAGCGTGACGTACGACTGGTCAGAAAATTGACATTTCGTCTAGAGCGAAATGTAAATCAGAGCTTTATGACAAATTAGATACTCGATATCTCACGAATAAAATGACCAGAAACAGCAGTCATTAAATCCTTCGTAGTGTAAACGTAGAAACATATACTGAAACGTCCAACAAATTAGCAAAGGACAAGGTAGTACCAGCGTGACGTACGACTGGTCAGAAAATTGACATTTCCTCTAGAGTGCAATGTAAATCTAAGCTTTATGTCAACTTTGATACGCAATATCTCACGAAAAGAATGACAACTCAACAATTCCATGGTAGAAAATATAAAAAATATATTCTTAAACGTCTCTTAAATTAACAACCAACAAAATGTTACTAGCGTAATGTAAATCAAAAACTATTAGACAAATGGGATACTCAATATCTCATGAACAGAATGGCCACTCAACAAGTCCTTAGTAGAGCAAATGCAAAAATGTATATTTTAACATCTCTCAAACTAACAACCCACATGCTGCTACCAGCGTGACGTAAGACTGGTCCGAAAATTGACATTTCGTCTAGAGCGCATTGTAAATCAAAGCTTTATGACTAATAAAATACTCAATATCTCACGAATAGAATGACAACTCAATAAGTCCTTGGTAGAGCAAATGCAAAAATACATACCGTTTAACGTCTCTCAAATTAACAACCCACTTGCTGCTACCAGCGTGACGTTA